AATAAAAGATAGATAGTAATAATCAGTTAGATTACAAGCAATATAGATATCGAAGATCCTTTAAAACTACTATATATATTAGAAGAAGACCTTTTATTCTTAATATAGGAGGATAAAGATTACTAATTATATATTCTATAATTATTAGCAAAAGAAGTATTCAAACTTATCTACAATAATCCGGAATATCAGAGTTTTGATTATTACAAACAAAAAATAGATAATATAGTTATATATTATAGAATATGTTTGTTTAAATAATATATCAAATATTATCTAGAATACTTACAAAATAATATAAGATAGTATCAACTATATAATATACTACAACCTATTATAAGATTTACAATCCTATTTCATACACTCTATATTAACTTTATATTAGGACTTCCAATATTAAGTAAGAATACTTTTAATTCTATTACCTTTTTCTTATATAAAATAACAAAACAATTTAAAACTATACTTAAAAAGAAAATATAAACCAGCAAATAATAGGTGTTTATAGTCTTTGTAATCTTACAGAATAGAAATTAAAAAGTTTTATTAGTATAGATATCTAATAGAGATCTAAAGTTTATAAAAAACTTCTAGAAAAGAATATTCAATATTCTAAAGATTTTATTGTTCTTTTTAACAGTATACTATACGTAAGCAGATAAACAGAATAAACAAATAAATTAGACAACTAAAATTTGATTATAATACTGATGTTCTTTATACAATATAAAGGAATAATTAAATATACTACTATTCTTGATAGCCGTAATAAATAATACTATATCGATTACAACAAATAAGATCCTATATAAATTAATATACGACTTCATCCTATAGATACTATAAACACTAATTTTAAATATGTTCACTTCCAAACAAGATTTTTTAGTATATGTAAATACTATAAAATATCTAAAGTATATAATAATAAGAATAAAAGAATTCTATAACAGATATTATACTTCTAAATACTTTACTATAAACAATAAAATCCTATTAAGACTAAGATATAGCTATAATATAACTACAAATATAATCCTATCGCATAAACTAGAGTAATAGTATGCTAGTTTATTTATAATACTTAAATATATAAAACGTTTAATATATAAACTTAATTTACTTCTATTCTAATATATATATAATATAGTCAGTATTTAACATTTAAAACTAATATCTAAAAATAAAAATCTATTTGAATAAAAACTAAAAGTATATTAGTCTACATTTAATAAATGATTTCTTAAGGATAATAATAGACACAAAGTAATCAGAGTATTAGATATTAGAATCCAACGATTAGAATAGTATAAAATATTATATAAAAAATTTCTGATTCTATAGAAAGACTAACCCTATAAATAAACTAAATGGATAAAAAAACAAGATACAGTAGATATTGAGAAAAAAATTGAAGAATTCGAAATAACACATAAAGTAGCAAAAAAAATTAACTAAAATTAGGATTTTAATTTTACTACTTTTTACTTTCCTTATCTTTTACTTCTTATTTTACTTTTATTTTTTTACTCTTATTTTATACCTTTTATCTTTTTATTCTTATCTTATATCTTTTATTTTTATTTTTAGTACAACATTTATTACAATTGTATACTTCATCTATTAATTATATTGTTTCTATACTAATTATTTCTATATTAACTATTTATATACTAGTTATATACTTTTATTCTTTTATTATAGTGTTAGATATATAACTTTCGAAAGGATAGCTAAGTTAATTTAAAATCAGTAAATTATTTTATAATAAAGCAGTAATAGTAGAACAATAAATAGGACTACAAAATCTAACTATATAGACATTAAATATAGCAGAATCTAAATCTATGATTAAAATATTTGAACGAATAGATATAGAATTAATAAAGAGTTAATTAATTATTAGTTTATTAAGGAATCCAAATTATTTAATAAAAGAGTCTAGAGATCTAAAACAAATAAAATTAATAGATAAGGCTTATATATTTATATCATTAATACTAGAGGTGAAGAAATATATAAAGATCTATTAATATGATTTTAATATATATAGTAATCTACAGCAAAACTAGATACTACAAGATCCAACTATGATTATAATGTAAAATAATATATAATATTTGTTAATATAGAAAGATATCTATATATTTACTAGTAGCTACAACAATATAGACTGATTAATACAACACATATATCCTACAACGAATCCTACTACATATTACAAAGGCTAGTTACGTATAGGTCTAATAGTAGCATCAATAGAAATACTATCTTCACTCAGTATATACAGTCTTGATAAAATATTAATAAGTATAAATATATTAGTAATATCTAATATCAATTTTGAAAGAAGGGTAGTAATAATATAAGTTTTTAAATAAATTAAAAGAATAGTATTATTTAGAGCTATAGTATAAAAATAACTACTACTAATACTCAACAAACAGTATAGTTACTTAATATTACAAATCTATTTAAAATACTATATTACTATTAATTAAAATAAAATTATAGCTATAAAAAAATCTAAATAGTTAATACTAAAACAAAGTAAAATAGTCCTATACTAAATAATCCTATACAAAATAGAATAATTAACACTAAATTAAAGTGAAGTAGTTATATATCAAATAATCCTATACTAAATATTTTTATACTAAATAGTCCTATATAAAATAACTCTAACAATCCTATATTAAGTAGTCCTATACAAAATAGCCTTAAGAGAAATAATTTTAAACGGTTTTAAATCCTAGTCAGAAAGTAATAATAACTATTTTATTTCTAAAGTAAAAAGAATTATTACAAAGGAATACAGAAGATTAACTACAAATCTATTTGAATTTATAGAATCCAAAAACATTCTAGAATACAAATGAATTTAGTAGTTAGCAGTTCTATCTAATAAAATCTATATTACAAGAAAAGCATTCGATATATCTAATATATAGATAGTCTTCGAAGCCTATATTCGTCTATAAATAATTAAAAAAGATTACAAATCATTTTTAGAATAGTATCAACAATTTGAAACATCTAATATGATTATTAGAAAACTATTCAACAAGATATAGACTCTTACTGTACTATCTAACAACATCGAGCGAGTATTTCTTATCCAGAACACTAATCAAATACTTCGAATAATATTATCCAACAATATTAAACAATCGTTGTAATCAAACCATATACAAACGAACTGTATGCAAACAAACTATATACAAAAGAAAAAGATATCTTCGAAACATCTAAACAGACACCTGGTACAAAAATAAGCTTTTAAGTCTATGCTAATCTCTAGACAACAACGAAAGATTATTAAGCATTCATAACCTTTTATCGTTCTGCGTTTTATTTAGGAAGCGATCCGAAGACTACATTCCCCTATTCGTAGGCGGTCGTACAAGATCCAAGTAGGTATTGAATAATTAGACTGCATTTCCTACTATTTACTTTGAAAAGGGTTCTCCGTTATTTTTTATTTTTTATTTTTTACATCTCACACCTGAGGGGGTTCGTTATTCTTTATCCTTTTGCTTTTACTTTTCACACCCGAGGACAGGCGCATCTTCAAGGAGACGGGAGATGTTAGGTCACGTGTTCGTGCCTATCTATAGTAGCTAGGAGACTCTCAATACGATCATCTTCTCCCACATCTTGCCTACAGTGTAACATAAGCTCTAGAATCTATATGCTGATTATCCAATTTCACAAATAACTGTAAGAACCACTATACCCAGGCATATAAGGAACAATGTGGTTCGGCCAAAAGACCTAATATAACAAGACTGATGTCTTCTAACTTGAAAAACTGGCCTCCACACTTAAGTATGTTGAATAAGCAAATGCTCACTCAGCATGTAAAAGCTTCCAATGAATCAAGTAAGGAGATGATGACAGAATAGTAACTCTTTAGTGAGAAGTATTGTATTGTGTGTCTACTCTCAATCAGGGAATAGGCTCTATTTATGCTTTTCTATGGGAAACTGATGGAATTCACTCGAATGGTGAATCCTAGTTGATTCGAATGAGGGCTGGAAGTAATTCCCGCAGAAGCAGTTTCCACTAGAATTCAGTGGTAGGCTGCATTCGTGTAATTAGCGCAAATCCAGGCTTCTCTCGCCCTGCGGGAGCGTGCAGTTTCGTCAATTGAAGCTGCCCCAGGGCCAAACGGGCTGCCTGAGGGCATATTGCCAAGAATTCCCTGCTGAGCCACTATGTGGCTTATACCATACTGTGGCGCAAAAACAGGAAGGAATTCAACAAAGTAGTACCCCTCCAGACAAGGATCTGGCAAACACATACAAGAATATACATGCTTTGTCAAATTGTTGTCTAGAGTATATTTTCCCTTTTCTATTTCATTTTATAGCTACACTGCGTTCTGCCAATAAATTCAAATGATATCTCAAACAGGCTTAGTTATAGTATAATGATAACATCTATGTTATAACACAGTGTTCACAAATAAATCCTCAATATACTTGGATAAATTTGTATAATATAAATAAGCAGGATATAAAGTAGACACTAGGATAGGCAGTGGGGCTGTAGAGTAGGTGAGAGTAGATGAGAGTAGGTGAGAGTGTCGGATACAGAGAAATTTACTTTAGAGCCTTACTTTCAAATGTTTGTCTGAAATGCACCTTACTTTCTGTCTACCTGAAGTGCACCTATTATTTCTCTGACTGTCACTACCTCTCTGACTGCCTCTCTGAATGTCTTTGGCTGTCTCTCTACCTTTTTAGCTATCTCCCTGGCCCATCTTCCTCTCTCTATTTCTCGTCTTCATTCAGATTTGGATCTATATCAGTACTTTACAGTGATACCCACATCATCTCGATTTTGTTGATCTGCTTTCCAATCACCAATCCGATATACTTATTCCGACACCATGCCGATGCAAGGCCCCGGGGTGAAAAGTGAAGAGTGATTTAGTTTCTCAGGTGGGTTTATCTGCGCCAAGTGGAACACAGAGGCTCCGGCATTTTGCATCCGGAGCCCGGCTGGCGCAATGGTAGCGCGCAAGACTGTGTGTAACCCCGTTTCCAAGTTAACCGTTCGTGTGCTCACCCCCCCACGGTCTAGTGAAGAGTAATCTTGAGGCTGCGGGTTCGACCCCCGCGTTGGGCTTTCCAAACTAGTACCCCTAGGAAAGGGCCTTTTTGATGTTTTTTTTTAGTTTGCTTAGTCATCACTATTCCGGACTTGCAGCCTCAGGATATCTATCTATCTATCACATTACACACCATAAGGAAAGCTCATCCGTCCCACTCTTCACTTCCAGCAGAGAATCTGACCGTGCAAGAATCCGATCCATCCATCTTCATCTTCCACGAATGCCCTCCAGGCCTTTGCCATATTCTGCAAGTCTTCTTGGCTAGCGAACCCTTCCTGAATTGCAATTTTTGCAAGCCCAGATGACCGGGCTCTGCTTTCCATTGCACCGCCCCAATATTCCCGTTCTTCGGGGCCGCTGAAACACCAGGATCCTGTACTTTTTTTTTTTCATTTGGTCTAACCGAAAACCAGCCTCTTTTGCCCAGATGTGAAGATGACTCCCCGCCTTTGTATGGCTCCCTTTGGCTTCCCGAATACGGGCCTGGAGATCCCGCCAGGCGACCAGTTCTTTTGAGTCGGGGTACGTAGTTGAGGTAACAGACTCCTGCACTGCGACAATACCCCTGGGCTTGACCACGCGCCGCATCTCCTTGAAGGCCTGGACTGGGTCGGCAATATGCTGTAATACTTGGTGTGCATGCACAACATCGAAACTGTTTTCGGGGAATGGAAGCTCGTGTATGTCGCCGAGAGTGTGTGTGACACTCTGCTTTGCACCGACATCCGCAATGCTCAAGGATCAGATTGCTCATGTGAGAGTCAGGTGATGCTTAACCAGCTTAATGATCTGTGAGGTCAGAGGCTCAATTCTACTTGGAGATCAAAAAGCGGAGGGGAGTACTAAAATGGAAAGGGAAAAGCCTCGCGCGCCAGGCATTATTCGATATGTCCTTAAGTATGGCAGACAGAAATATTGTACGATAACCTTGACTCACATCACAAATGTTTCACGCCCATTGATACTTGAAATCGGAGGTATCAATGTCAACAGACGTTTATTCAATTGGTATGGTAGCTTATGCTTATCCTGACATTAAGCCTAACTCCATGGGAAGGCTGTAGATCCTGATCCGGGCTGAGCACAGAGAATGACCTTCGTGATCTCATACCTGTCCGTCAGCTCGGCAAAGAGCTAATGCTCTTGATCCTTCATTTTTTGCCCAGCCCGAGTGGTTTCTTCTTCTGGACCGAGCGTCCATCGTACATGATGTCCCCCGATTCGCTGTCAGTGTCACTCTCACTCTCTGAGTCGGAGCTGTAACCGCCATCCACGGACTCGTTGCCGTCTGTTGTGGGCGGCAACGTAGAACGTGCAGACGAGGCAATCTCTGCTGCCTTCCGTTTCTTGGCAGCTTCTTCCTCTTTCTGGGAAGCAAGGAGGCGTTTCAGTTGAGACAGCGGTTCCTGAGTTGCGGGCTGCGGGGATATCGTTGACGCAGGAGTGTCCTTTACAGGAGTGTCCTTTACAGGAGTTGGCTTTGCAGGAGTTGGCTTTGCAGGAGTTGGCTTTGCAGGAGTTGGCTTTGCAGGAGTTGGCTTTGCGGAAATTGCTTTTGCGGGAGTTGGCTTTGCGGAAGTTGGCTCTGATGTTTCTCCCTTCGATTCAGCGGCTTTCAATTTCTGACGAAGCTCCTCAAGCTCGGCTTGAAGTTTGGTTCGCTGCACGCGACTAACTTTCGATAACCGATTAAGCTTAGATCTCATGGCTATCGCAATCTTTTTGACGTCTTGCGGGACTAGTTCGCGTGTTATGATTGCCTCAAGGCGAGCCTTTTCTTCGGTTTCTCGCTGTTTCATGGTTGCCTGGTCAATTTCCACCTTGCCTCCGTCTTTCAAAAGTTTCCGTGGCGCTTCCGGCTTGCGGTGGGACGACTCCGAGGGGTAGACAGCATCGATGGCGCGTTTCGATGGTTGCACTTGATGGGCATCTGTAATAAGACTGCAGGCTGCGGGGGACTCTTTACCAATAGCAGAGGCTTGCTTCTGAAGAGAATCCGGGGCAGGAGTATGTTTTGCGGCAGTAGGGGAGCCATTGGATGAATCTCGGTTGGATGCTTCAGTGCTAAGAGACCGTGCTGCTTTTTGAGATTCTGGGTTTCCGGCAAGCGTTTTGGTGATTCCCAGTCCTATTCCTTGTCCCATATGTTGGTTAGAGGATCTCCGCGCCATCTCCTTTTCCCAATTTCTCTTGCGTTCTGGGCTGCAGAAAGAAGGTGGCCTTGGTATGCGCGGATTTTTGTTTGTCGGTGACTTCCAAATTGTAGGGGCGGGAGACTTAGACTTCGGGCAGGGCGACACCTGGATAATTTCAACCTCTGGGGATGCGGGCCTGGGAATTTCTCGTGTTGATGGATGTTCTTGTTCCATACGGGCTTGCTTGATCGGACCAGATTCATCGATGCTCTGTTTGCGTTTCCGGGTGGAGTCGTTAGCTTTTAGCCGCTGGGAGGCACGACGAGGATTGCTGGCAGAGACACCACTGTCTGGCGAGGTTGACGGTTCTCCTTCATCGGACTGCTTTTCAGAGACCTTCGCCTCTGCTTTTTCCTCCGCATTGTCGCTCGACTCGGAGTCCGAATCCGAGTCCGAATCCGAGTCACTCAGGGCGAATACTTTCGGCTGGGAGAGTGAGGGGTGCGCAAGTGACGGTGCGGGAGAAGACTCCGAGTTGGAGGACTTTCGCTCATGCGGCAAAAGTGAGATAACCCGGGTTCCTGGCGTGGCGGCCCGCCGTTCTGGTAGAGAGCTGTGGGCGAGACTCGCAGATTTGGGCTGAGGTTGCGAAAATGAGGTCGTCCAAGGGGGAAGTGATGGTGGTGGCGATTCGCCTAGTTCTTCACTTCCGCCTTTCGGCGGAGGTGTGCCGGCGATCGAAATCGAAAGTTGGGTTGTAGGTAGACGAGCGAGATCCTCGGGGTCGAATTCAATTGAGGAGAGAGGCCGGTTGTGCTGGAAGGCGTTCTTCGTAGGAAATGAATTGCGCTGGCTGTCTGACTGAGGCCCAACGTCATCACCGGTGGGCTTATCTTCCTCCTCCTCCTCTTGAATCGGGGAGACTCGCTTTTCTCTAGCTTCTCGGCTGCGGTAAAAGGCCACAGCGGGTGTGTCCCAATCCTGTACCACAGACGGAAAGCGTTCTGGCGCTGCATTCGCAGGTTTCTGAATGACGCGCACCGCACCACGCTGATCGTGGCCGTCGGCGCGCGCCTTTCCATGGTCCACCCAGACATCCGCGACAGTCAGATCGGGGTATAGCTCGGTATCCTCATTCGTATCGTCAAGTATTCGTTTGATCGCGAGGGATCTGAGCGAAATTCAAGTTAGCGCATGACACTTCAGTGACTGGTTGAGGCTACTCACTCGAGATCGGGGTGAAGGTAGCTCCATTTCTGCTGAATGAGACCTACTAATCCCCCCAATGTCACCTCTTCTGGGTTCTCAATAGGAAGTAAGAAGACTGCGGGTGGCACCGAGCCCGCAGGTGCGTGGACCTGAGCCCGGGGGAAGATCTTCACGGTGAGACGGAGAAACACCATGGCCGATAAGAGCTCCAGGAAACAGAACTCAGAACAATGGCATTGCAGTGAGAAGCTCAGAAAGGAAGAGAGAATATGAGAGAGCGAAGAAAGAAGAGAAGGGGAAAAAGAGAGAGGAAAAGCAACGCTGCGCTGCGCAAAAACAAAGAGATGTGAGAAGAAAGAAGTTCAAAAAAAAAAAGATGAAAGTGACCCGCTTTCTCCACCTTTGACATTTGTATACTTCAATTTACCCGTTTATCGCCTACATCGAACGCTGATGTTTCGGTACCTAAAGCCAATTTAAAGGACTGTTTAAACCTGATTCACAACTTTAGAACGGGTCTATGTGGAGATCATAGCGTTTCAACTGACTAAAAGACAGGCTGCGACAGACATGCCATCTCAGCGATCATTCTTGCAGCCAAGGCCTATGACAAAACGCCGTAGAACAGAAGCACCGGAATTACCATCGGGTGGGAGCACTGCATCTGTTTTGCCTTCCATTGAATCACCAGAACCCCAGAATATGAATGACGCTATCAAAGCTCGAGCTCATGTGCAATGCCTGTTCATTTTTAGATTACGCAAGTTCAAGGGCCATTGGCATCGTCCTGCTCAGTCTCTTTATATCCCTCTGCCCATCCCTGAGGAGGCGCCTGAACCTCGCAGTTCCAGCCAAAGGTATCCTCAACATCCCCAGACTGAATTCCCCGAAGTGTCTGCAGCAGCTGTACACACACCTCTCCACCTTGGTTCTGCTCTCCGCGCTTGTAGGTAATCCGGTCCCCTCGCGACTGCATCGTGATACTTCCCACGGGAACCAATGCCGCCGCGGTGCCTGCAGCAATCACCTCATCGAACTCCGGTAGTTCCTCGTAGGCAACCCGTCTCTTCGCAACCTGGTAGCCAAGGGAGCGCGCAATTTCCAACACCGACGCCGCAGTAACCGAGTCGATCGCATTCTGACTATCAGGCTGCACAACAGTGACGGTGTCCCCCTCCCGCTTGACTCCAAGAAACGCGGACGTGGAGAACTCATCGATCTCGCTGCGCGTGGCACTATCCAGATGAAGCGTGATGCCGAACCCTTCCTTGCGCGCCCGATCACTGTGTCGCAGCACAGGCGCATAGTTTCCCCCCACCTTGGCATTGCCCGTTCCGAACGGCGCACAGCGATCGAAATCCTCTAGGACCAACGCGTCCACTGCACTCGCGCCGTGATAAACTCCCGTCGGCATCGCAAACACTGCAAGGGTATATCCATCAGGTGGACTCAGCCCGAGCTGCGCCGAGGATCCAAACAACACAGGGCGGATGTACATGGCTGCTCCAGAGCTATGGGGTGGCACATACTCGGCATTGAGACCAACAGCCAGCCGAACACATTCAACGAACAGATCCTCCGGGACGGGTGGGATGGAGACCACCTCGGCCGAGTGCTGCATGCGCTTCGCATTACGGTCGGGGCGGAAGATGGTGATTTTGGTATTGTCGCGATTGCGGAACGCCTTCAACCCTTCGTAGACTTGTTGGCCGTAGTTGAAACCCGGGGCCATGCCGTGGATGGGCAGGTAGGGGGAGGCCACGAATTTGGGGGAGGACCATTTGGCGCCTTCACTGTACGAAAAGTGCGCTTCGACGTGGCCATTGCCTGTCAATGTTAGTGTGTTTTGTGGGCATCTCCAGTACTTGAATAGCATACCATCGCGGACTTTGAAGCCCAAATTGGACCAGTCGAGATCAGCAGGTGGTGGTGGGAACATTGTGGGTATGTCGATCCGGGGACTTCCCCGGGGATTCGAAAGTTATATGTTCTCCCGTTGGGCGTCATTGTTGGGCTTTGCCACTAAAGTTTGATGTCTACTTCGTCATTTGAAGTTTGAACTGCACTTCTATTGGAATTGCAATTGTAAACGATCTCTGAGCTACTAGATCTGGTTAGTTTTTCCTTTTTACCTGCTATTCAAATACAAGTCACGAATTTATATGAGAAGTCATGAAGGGCAATATTCGCCCGGTCCTTGTAGGGTAAAGAAGCACCCTGGAAATCAACCCCATTTTCGCTCTAAAACAACGCTAATCTGCCCTCTCTTTCCACGTCTCTGGAGGCTCAAAACCTCAATCTCGGCCATGTCCACTACATTTGACCCCCATTTATCGGCCCAACTTCACAATCAGATCCTGAAACACGCATGGATTGGCGCTGGACGGGATGTCGCTTCAATACCGTCTCAAACTTAGTGGGAAGAATGCTCGCCTATTCCATTCGATCTCGCCTCACGCCTTAATCCAAACTTGATAAAGTTTCTGCGGTCGGCGAAAGCCACAGTATTCGATCCTGATTCGGATTTTCATCTCTTCTATTACCTACGAGGACTGCATGGGAAAGATCAATTGTTTGCTCCGGAATCTTCACTTGGATCGTGGGGCGATCGTTATATATGGTTATATCCTTCAACACGAACGAAGAGTGATGAAGAAGTTGGGATAGTGTAAGATTTGGTTTGAAATTTTGTGCAATTGAGAAAGAAGAAAACTGACACCCCAAATAGATTCGATCAGAAGACTGAGCTATCCTCTTTTGTCCCAGACTGGGAAGATATGGCCTGGTCTGACAGAGATCGGTGGCCATGGCGACCTTTACAAAACATCCTGAAAACTTGTTCAGAGATGTTTGATGACGGAAAAATAACAACATATTCGGATCGTCGAAAAGAATTTATGGAGCCTTCTTTTGGACAATTCCCCTGGGAAATTCACCAACACACTCCAATGGACGTGGAGAAGGCTGTCAGTGCCTTTACTCGACTTCTCGATGCTATTGAGATCAGACTTCCACCTTTGACACATTCTTTCGAGGATTGTGACCAGGAAAAGCCAAGCCTGGAAGGCATATCTCTCCCATATCCCAAAGCGGCCATTGAAGCGTCTTCCATAGAAGCGGCCTCGTTTCTCGAACATTTCCTCTTGAATTTTCCTATCCGACATCTCAGCTTTCGCTATATTGCCCCTGGCATTCAACTCCAAAATTCGACCGAGTTTACAAATCAACCGCTTGCCCACCGTGGCCACGACTGTGGGATTCCAAGCTTGGACAGCACCGACCAAACGACACCACACCCTCTACTCTTGTTTCGAGGGGAGAGAGACAACAAGTCGCCTTGGAATCAACCCGGGCTTATTTACAGTCCTGACAGGGACACGAAGAACATTCCATCTGGTTTATACATAGAGCCAGCCGACGAATATTTCAACTGGGAATCTGGCAACCAGGCTCGGCTCCTGTTGCCCTTTAACATCGGCAGCAATGGATTTGCTCGAAGTAGCAATGGTGTTCCATTCAAAAATGCTAGATTTTCCGGAATCGAACAACCTGACCAGCTTTACCAGGAGGACCTTTTTAGTGGCTACAGTGGTTATTTACCTTGGGATTCGCGTAGCTCATATCTACACAAAGTTTTGGAAAGTTGGGCTGAACGGGTAGAGATGGGTGATTGGGAAGTGGACCAAGACGGCGTGATCGGTGGAATTGATAAATTCAAAGAGGCTGACACAGAAGAGCATTGGAGAGAATATATTATCCCTTGGTGAGTTATTGAAAACCGAGATTGAAGGAAAGGATTAAATTCACCAAACTTCTCGCATACAACCTGACATCTTTCATCCCCCCCGGCTTCCACAGTGTAATGTAAATCACACCCAACCCATTTGGTTTTAGCATCTTCTCTGGTTCGGTAGGTTTTGATAGCTTCAGCTAATGCGAGCTTGTTTGTTTTGGGTCGTTTTGGCATATTTTTGGGGGTGGTTTGGAGGATTGAAGTTCATGGGTTGGGTGTGATTTACATTACACTGTGGAAGCAGGGGGGGGGCAGAAAGAGCCGGGTACTCAAGTACTTGCTAGGTCGAGAGATTGTATACACCCCCTACGGGTACTCCACCATGATGCATAGGTATACCATATACCCCGTTGGAATTTGAAGCTACATTGTGGGTTTCCACTTGGACATAACAGGAAGCATCCATACTAAGATTCACATATATTGCAATAAATGACTTGACTATTCTGGGGGAACAAAATACCTCTGGAACCGATCAATGCGTGTCAAGCCCAGCTCAACGATGACCTCATGACAGCTCATCAATAAACTAGGGAACTTGACGGTCCAGAAGATCAGGTAGCCCTCAGGCAGGCCTCCAATATGACTCTTGAGATTCTCAGGCATATCGTTGTAATGGTTCCGCTTGTTGCGAAGAGCACGAAGCAGATCCAACATGCGGGAACCAGTATACTTGCGCTGTTTGCCGAGGTTGTCTTTGAAGTCCCGCGGTAGAACACGTAAGAAGTCCATCTCCGGGCCCATAACGTCCAGGGCCACCGATTCAAGACACAAGAGGTCATCAGAGGGTGGATCCCGGGACTCGAACTCGAAGTGATCGGACACATCACAGAGGAAGTTCAGGCGGTCAGACGGGGCCCAGAAGAATGGGTGCATCAAGACAGCGCTGGCGTCAGGCCGTTGCCGGGGATTGAGCGAGAGCATGGAGCGGATGAGGTCCTTGGCTTCAAAGGCGTAGTCTCCGAGCCGGTTGAGTTCTTGGAGATCAAACTGGCCCTTGACGATGTTGGCCTCGCGCATGAACTTGCCGTTCTTGTCGAACGGATGGCTGCCATGGGTCAAGACGTAGTAGAACACACATCCCAGCGAGAAGATGTCGATCGCTCGGGTGGCTCGGCGGTTCGTCTGTGGATCAACCACGGCAGGCTCGGAGGTTTCAGTGTGCTGAGATGCCAGGGATAGGGGGCCGTTGTCATCGTCGACAAGGAGCTCAGGCGCTCGCCAGCCAGAAGTGCCAGCGGCGTGGGCAGTGGTGGCTCGGAAGGAGCTTTGGTTGTCGTCCAACTTTTTGCACAAACCAAAATCAGAGATGAGAAGTCGTAGAGATTTAGAGATTGATCGACCTCGGGGCATGGCAACCAAAATGTTCTGCGGCTTGAGATCACGGTGCACGATTTTCAAAGAGTGCAAGTAGCGGACACCCTGCGTGATCTGACGCAACACGTCTGGCAGATCCAACCCACTCTGGATGAGCTCTGGGTAGTTCAGAGGTCGCTCGATGACGTCCTGCAAAGAGGCCGGGCAAAGCTCAAGGCCAATATACAAGAACCCAGTGGCTTGTTCTCGGCAGAAGTACCGAATGACATTGTGGTGGTCATCACTCTCCTGCAATAGACCAACTTCGTGGGATGCAATGTCATAGAATTCCATCAACATGCGCTTCACTGCCACGTCTCTGCCATCAAAGGAGCCCTGGTACACAACAGTTCCATGACTTCCATGTCCCAGAACGGTATTGGTGAACACCTGAAGCCGACCAATACGAACGACACCGTCCAATTCCTGTATCTCGTTCGATACGGTCCGAGTCATCTGGACATCGGGTTCAAGTCGAGGCTGCGCGGCCATATTGGTGACCTGCTCAACGACCTGCTCGGCCTCGGGGCTGTCACCTTCGCTGCCAGGCTTCTTGCGACGACGGTGGGACTTTCCTCCTCGCGATCCACGAGCGCGAGGCTTCTTCTTGGGTTTGCCAGGTTCGTCACCCTCCTCATCGTCAGGACCGCGGGATGGCTCGCGAATCTGGACCCGAGGTGTAGAGTTCGGTGCTGAGAGTTGCTCCCGAGAGGGGCGAGGAGTTGATTCGCCTTCTGGGATCGACTCGTTCAGATCAATGTCTACTGTGACATTTGGCACTTGCTGATCTGGGGAAGAACCTTTGATGCCTGTAGCACCACCAACAACAGGAGTAGACGGAGCAGACAATGATGGCTTGTCATTGGAGTTGATGATGTTCTTGATGTCAAGCTTCTGCTTGGCCAGGTCGCGGAGGTGATGCGAGTTGAAGTAGATGAATGTGCAGATGAAGAGTAGGATTAAGGTCACAACAATGTCCAACGCGTTGTCCCAGCTCTTGCGAATGATGGCGCTGTTTCGGAGTGCGGGAGGAAGGGCAAGTTCGGAGGGGCTGCGGAGGAGGTCTCGAGGTGTGTCGTTGGAGAGCTCAGAAGTCGATGATCCCCCAATCCTGGCGATGGGTGGTCGAATGATGCGAGGCCGAGTGAGAGAATGAACACCCGCAAGAGCATTCCGCTGCTGGGTTGGGGTAAGGCTCATCAAAGCTTGTCCGCGACGGAGGAAATCCTTATCGTAGCATTGTGCCATTGGTGCCCGGCCTGTTGTGAGTGGGTAGGTTTCCTCTGAGAAGGCATACCACCCGCCGGCGTCGGTGCAGTCAATGTACACACGTTTATCGCGCTCGTCGCCAAGGGATCCATAATCTGGATCGGGCGGCTGAAGTGGCTGGGACAGCAGAACAAGCGGAGTGGAAGCATCTGGTGCATCCTTGTGGGTAGGGCGCACGACGTCGAAGACTCGGGCGACGGGGGATGTGAAACGCTGGGTGTAACGAGGTCGGTCCATGCGAGAGTGATCGAATCCGAGTACAACGCCGTCGTGCATGCTGTAAATGTGGCTTTGGTCCATCGTTCGGTAGTATTGACTCTGGAGGTCTATGTCGCGATTGTTAGGTGCCCATTCCGAGTATTTCAATGTGCAGATTGGGTCTCCTGTCTCAGTGTTCTGAATGGCGACCGCGTACTCAACCCGACCGAGCACCAAAGTTCCAGAGGTAGTCTCGCACTGCTCCGGGTCCAAGTCCTCGCCGTCTACCTTCCGGCATTCTGGGCCCGTGGTGATCGGGCCGCGAGAGCTAAAAACCCGTAAAATGCTGCCCGTCCGCGCATCAATGGTGTACAGGGTCGTCTCTTTCCTGGCTGTGTAGGTCACCGCAGGGTCAATGCCCGAGTAGGGTGTTTCATCCACCAGCTGCTTGACTGTCAAGCCAAGTTTCTGTAGTCCTGAATCCGGACCAGGGCTGTATATGTACAAGCTGCCATCCTGGCTCGGCTCGACGATCCACAGAAAATCGTCTTCAGGCTCGGTATGATCAAAGCTGGAACGATTCGCACGGTGGTATATGCTCTCCACGACAGGGCTACTGGGCACCTCGAGGGCCCAGCGGGAATTGCCGGTCTTGCGATCACGGGCGTGAATGGTTCCATCGACGGTCGCCAGCAGGACAAAATCCTCAACCTCCCAGTCCTGCAAGGACCGCGCGTGAAGCTGCGAAGCCAAGTCAGCATTGCTGCTGGCCTGGACAGGAGGGGCTCGAACGGCACGGCCGGAGCCTGCCAGAGCCAGAGTAGCAAGGGCGCTCGCATCGTTGGGTTTCACGATGGGTGGTGTAGCCACATGGGCCGCACTGTGTATGGATTCTGGTGCTAGGGGCACCGAGATTCGGGAGTCATCTGGATGCTGCTGCGGAGCGACCAGGGACGGGAGGAGAAGGAGGGCGACACTGGCGGGGAGGGTCGACCGGGCGCCTGGCAGCCGCCACCGCATTGTGGCACAATCAGCGCAAGAGATGAGGGGATCGAAGATAGCGAGGAGTTATCGGGAGGTTGAGAGAATCAATGGAATTTAGAATGTGGATCGAAATGACAATCCGGGTAGCGGATCATCCCCCACAGGGACTTCAATATCAATGCGAAATGCGAAATGCGAAGGAAAAAGAAAAAAATTGGAACTGTCAATGTACTTCGTAAATGTCCGTGATGCAGAAGAGTTGCAGAAGTGAAAGGTGAAAGGGGAGGCGATTGTGTGTGTATTACGCGTGTACTGTACAGTGACCAGCCACCTCCGCCTCCACAAGCTGTATCAGAAAGTACCGGTACTTTGGTTGTGCAGCCTAGGCCGATTCCGAAGGTTCTAGACACAATATTGAGCGAGTCATTAATACAGATGCCTTGGATTAATATTGCAATTCATCTGTTATCTACTGTATAGAGTACAAACAGAATAGTCCGGAGTAGAAATGTAAGAGCAAAGTCGCTTCTGAGCCCTCAATTGTGCCTGGACACGGAATCACCGAGAGAATCAAAGTCCAATTCACCAGTAAAGAACCGGAGTTTCAATTAAAAAAAAAAAGCAGATTGCATCCAACGCCGAAAAAAGCCCCAATCCTCCAGTGCACACAAGTGCCGAGGTAAAATAAAGGAGAAAAATAAAAGACACAAGAATGAAAATAGATACAGGGGGAAATAGGCGAAGGCCAGAATGAAAACTATAACACAACAGGGATCACGTATGATTCCAAGAGAGAACGAAAGAAACAATTAACCACCGCGGATCATCCAAGTCACAGCAACAGCCCAGCCGGTCACAAAGATGAAGGTCAAGACACCTGCACCAGCCTTGTCGCCCGTGCCGATGGTGTTCAGGACAGGGACCTTATTGGTCGTAGAATTAGTGCCGGCGTTCGGGTTACTCTTGGAAGTGCCCCCGGAGTCTGCGGTGAAGGGCGCCTTGTTCTTGAAGGGGACCAGGTTGGCTGACAACACTCCCAGCACCGCCATCTGCTGCTCAAGCCCAGAACTTTTATCCCATTCGGCTTGTTTAGTCCAGCGAATGCCGCACTTCACCCCGGAGTCACCGCCGGAACATTGCTTGGCCGCGGCTTGGGCAGAGGCCTTCAACTGGGGGAAGACCGTGTCGTACATGCCGGGAACGATAGTGGTCATCACTCCAATCCAATTGGTGAAATAGGATTTGAACGTGATTTGATTTCGGTCGCAATTGCCAAGAGGCTCGCAGGTGATGTCCGAGAGAATGAGATTGCCGCCACTGGTCGGGAAGAATTGCTGGGAGGTCTTGTAGAGTCCCTCCACACCCTCCTTCCACTTAGTTTCAGTACCGTTGGTCTAAGAGTAGATTAGTAAAGCTGCACGGTCAGATCGAGTAGAAAACGTACGTAGTTGTGCATGTACGCAGCACCGCTGATGTATGTGGCATAGTTGTAGGTCCACTGGAAATCACCGTGATCTGTGCACTGAGTGCCACAGGTGGTGGAATCGGCAATGTTCCAGTTCTTCTGCTTGAGGAGTGGGGTCGTGGCACTCCAGTCCCAGATGCGCTCGGCCCATTCGGCATAGGTCTTGTTTCCGGTGTACAGAGCGAGGCGGGCGGAGAGTTGGAACAATCCACCGTTGGAGATCGCGTTCTTGGTTAGATAACCATTCTGGTACGGCCAGATCTGCCAGCGCATTCCACCGTGGCAGCTACTGGTGTCCCAGCGGGGGTATTGCGTGTTGAACACTCCCTGTGCGAGGGAGACCCAGGAGGGTTGACCGTCCAGTTCGGGGTAGTTGAATTCCGCGGCGGTAATCGCGGCCAGGCCCCAGAACACTTGATCGTCGTTTCCCAGGTACTGACTGTAGTTGGAGGGGAAGAAATCGTCGTCGCCCTTCTGGAAGTACATGCCCTCCTGCACGGCGGCATTGAATTGTGTGTCACCGGTCACCCACCAGTACAGGATCAGGGTCATGAACATGGAGCCGCCTTCCCACCAGGTTCCGTCCATTTTGCCGGGAATGTTCGCGGAGTCTCGGGCATTGTAGTAATCCATCATCGTGCTGGCGACGGTTTTGGCGGCGCTTTTGAGGGAGGCTGTGACGAACGGGTTAGTCTGTCAACGCGATAGAGAGTCACAGGGTAAGCGCCATACCTTCATCGTCGATGGTCAAATCAATCGCCAGCGCACCCTGAGCGGCGAGAGTGCCACCCAGGAGAGTGGCTAACCACTTGGATAAAATCATGCTCACACGAGTGGCCAAATGGCATAAGGTAGAGAGAAGAGAGAGAGAGTTGGTGAGAGGAAGTGATGGGGGGAAAGGGTCTCGGGGTACCCGGTAACAGTACCGTTGCAGCGGGGGGGCAAAGTGGCTGTCTCCGTCTAAGAATGTCCGTCTCTGGACGTTTTCCGAGTGTTTTGTTTTAATTTCCTGTAATTTGAGCTTCTCAGTGCTGAAATATATGGAGTCTATGCTAATGAAAATAATCAATTGAAGACTCGAACTAGACTTTGGTCTCGAACACTAGGCAACCTGGACCCTCACTGCCCCTAAAAAAAATCCCCTGGCTATTTTACTAGTCTGCAAGTACCTGCAGCGGATGAAACATTGCCGAGACATCAATTGATCCCTTGACTTTGTGTAGGAGTTCCTAGTTACTCAAGTAGATTGTACTCCGTATACTCCCAGTAGAAACAAAAAAAAAACTGGGTAGGGCGATCAGCCAATTCGACAGTTCGATTTTGCCGATCAGGATGTTCTGACCCATGGGGAATGGGATCGTCACGGGAATACGAACACGAGGAGAGAAGCACTCTAAGCATTGGACAAGAGTCTTGGACCTTTCTTGGCCCGGCTTGGTATACTCGAATCTTTTTACATGTTAGCCATAGACTGTTTATTTAGCTAATTAGTGACTTAGTTCTAAGATTCTAGAGTTGAGTTATGACAATACAATCTGCACATAGACTGCTGCCTGTCCAGGCCTGTTTCCTCAGGCTGACAGCGGATCTCTCTTCCGTCTTCGTCAGTGCTGTCTGCTCCGTACACAAGTACAGGGATATACCAATACTCCTTTGATCAACAATCAATTGTAGGAAATTAACAGAGTTCAACTCCACAAAATGATTATAAACTGCAAATTGAACTCAACATAGCTAACGGGGATTGTTATATTGACACGCCTGATGCCTGATTTTGGCCTGATTACGATATTGATGCCCTATATACTTAAGTAGTAGGCATCGATATTTCTGCCATCGTTCTGCCTGCACTCCTACGGAGTATATTGGCCAGAAAAGCTGGAAGCACTAGGCTGTTTTCTTTTTTTTTTTTTTTTTCTAAAATCGCTACAGTGAGCTTTTCAGGGCTTGGTATTGGCAATCGATCATCGCCAGACAATTCCATGGGGTCTGTGAGATGTAGTGAGGCCACGATGAGGATATTGAGTGAAGAAAATGCGATTGGAAAACGTACTAGAAAATGCAGTAGAAAATGGATTATTTAGGGGACATTCTAAGGTCAGTCTTATAACTACCCAGACTGTAGTTCATGTTCAATATTCATAAAGATTCCTAGACTCCTGACTTGTTAGGCTTTTTGTCTAGTCGGGAAATTCAACAGTTCATTCATAGTAAAAATTCTTAACACTATTCCGAACTGGTGGGTATATAATTTGACTAGAGGCCCTGGGGGTTACAGAGTAAATGTAGGTACTGCAAGAGGAGTTTGATGAAATCTGTATAGCTTCAGGGTCAAGATAGAATGGCGAAGAGGAAGGCGATGCAATCAGACCAAAATCAGGCATTAGGGATGTCTACAGGTAGGTGGAAGTCTAGCTGGGTTCGATTACTTGCTGTAAGCGAATTGCATATTGAACACGGCACGAGACACAAGAGCTACATCCACGGATGATCTTACGTGTTTGTTCAATTTGGATTTTCTTGCAAATTTTGAGAGAAAGCCAGCGTGAAGCCCACAAAGCGTAGAAAATCACCATAGACCAGCCAGCACGGAATTTCATCTTGTGTCCCGAGTTCGGGACGGAGCTTCGTTCGTACCCTTTTTGGTACGAAGTATACCAGCTACCCGATACATCCGAGAAACCCGAGAAATCCGAACAATGGAGACGGCCAATTGCACCAATAACACGTCCCAGCAAGCTCTAGATTAAGCACATTCGACAGAATTAAGCATGCTACTAGTATTGCCTACGTACTTGTACTGTTCCTGGTCTAGATGGCGTCCAATGTTCTATGCTTAATAAAGCTTTTCATTACCCATGGATGATCCAGGATATCACCATATAAATTGATACCAAGGTGTTGGAAACCACATCGCTTCAAACCTTCGAAAGTTGGAAAACATCCTCAGCCTCTAAGACTATAGCAACAGCTAATCCACTCACAAAATGGCCTCACTCACAGTCCATCACCTGCGACGGTCGCAATCCGAACGAGTTATTTGGCTTTGTGAAGAACTGGGCATTCCCTACCATCTCGAATGTCATGATCGAGTACCTCCTCTCATGCTCGCACCGGACAGTCTGCGCCAACTTCACTGGTCCGGAACCGCCCCGGTGATCCAGGATGGAGAAGTGACACTGGCCGAATCCACCGCCATCTTTGAGTATATTCTAAACAAACATGGCAACGGACAGCTCGTGGTCTCTCCCACGGATTCGAATTATGCGGACTATCTCCTCTGGTTTCACCAAGCAAATGGATCGCTCATGCCGGCACTCATGCCTATCATGCTCGGCCGAATGAAAGGCGATAGCGACGAGTCCCCAACTCAGGCGATTATGCAGCAACGGATCAACGCGAACCTGCAGGCTATGGACCGGCAACTCGAAAAGTTGCCTTATTTGGCTGGGGATGATTTCACAGCTGCGGATTGTATGTCAGTGTGGGGGTTGACGACGTTCCGTCTCTTCCATCCGTTCGATCTCACTGAATATCCGAATATTGTGAGCTATTTGCAACGCATTGGACAGCGAGAGGCCTACCAGCGTGCTGTACAGAAAGGAGATCCCGGGATGAGCCCTATCCTGTCTGCGGTACCCCCTCCAACATCTATTTGATGAGATCGACATGTGTACTCCAAGATTTGTATCATCATTCGTTTGGACATAATCTTCATTTGTTCCAAGGCTTTTTGTTTTTCTATTCTTTTCTCCATTGTCTTGTGTCCTTTACATTTGTATTTATAAGAAAAAACATTCATTCTAGCGCTGGGAATCTGGGATGAAACGACCCACTCATCAGCTATATTTCGTCGCTTGGGCATCAGTAGGTACGGACTCATTGCCATTTCAGCTAGGGGATTGTTATATCAACACACGCTCGGATAATCTGACACCCCTTTGGATAATCTGACGTCTTGATGTCACTTTGTGCCTGTCAAGGTTTCTACTACCCGTGGACACTGATGATTCTCCCTCTTCTCCCCTTCATCCTCTTTTTTTTCTTTCAAAAAACTACCTGTGACAGCCATCAGTTCGTTCTTCATCCTATTTTCATTATGTTCGTTCCATCTCGCTCTTTCTCTGAGATGCATGCGCGAACCAGACCTTCGCGGCACCCTGTTCTAAAGCTTCTTTACCGACGATTGAAAGACTCCGAGTCCTTCTTTCTCTCCCCTAGGAACCTTCAAGATCTCGGAATTCGGGCTTCTCAGGTGGATATAACAGATGACGGGATTCTGCAATTTCGACCATGTTTTTTCCGGCCTTACCCAGAGAGAATCCTTCAAGTATACCCACTTGACACTTCAAATTTGTTCAACGACCTACCAGTGCTCTACTACCAGCCCGACTTTGCTTCTATGTTAGCAGAAGTTTGTTTGAAGTACCCAGATGCGGAAGACCCTCTCAAAATCGCAAGATTTCAGTATGAGGAACATGCTATGCTGAGGTCGCCGGACGAATGGTTGACCCATGCACGAGAAACGGAATCCTACATCCGTCGAATACACGATCTCTCACGGAAGGGACGGCCGGAATTATCTTCGCTTCTTGACTTAGGGACCCTTCAATCGTCGCTGTAAGTAGATATTAATCTTTTTCAGATTCTGAGCATAGATATTAAATATGACATAGAAGAGAACCGACGAAGCACGATCCTCCAACACATGAGGAACGCCCCGGAGGACCTAGCTGGCAGATGAAGCAGTTGTTAGACAATAGTCACGAAAATCCCCCTTTACCGCATGCGATTATGGCAACCATCGCACATGTCCCCGCCAACTTTGAGCCCCAGAGCCTCACCCTCCATGAATTGAGAGCTATCGTGAACATGCTGATCATTCGCACTTCACACAGGCCGTTCAGGAACTACTCGGTTCATCCAGTAATCATCCCGCACCACATCGAATTGCAGTCTTATTCATACTAACCCCATTTCTCTATCTGTAGTTATTGCTTCTCTCTTACATGGGCCAGAAGCATGGAAGAATCATTCAGGCTTCATTTGATGGGGAAAAATTGATTCTACAATATTCCCAACTGTGGTGCTTTGAGGACGAGGCTACGGCGCTAGTGGAACTATTTGTTCGCTACAACATCAGCCAGCTTGTCGGGCTGGAGAGACCACAACTTGATGTTCCATCGCTTAGAGAGTCGTTTACATCAATGGATTTGACCTAGCTACTTAAGTATCTGGTGTGGATTGAAGATAGCACCAATATCTAGTACCAGTTTCATGCTGAAATCACCCTAGGGAACATCTGTTGTTCATTACGTGACTGGGGATAATGGTGGATCACCGATAGTTTCTGTCACAGAGAAGACGAGCAGATAAATCAAGTCGATGGTTGGTTCAAAGAAGATGTCATGTCATGTTTCGACTATGAGAAGAGTGTGGAATCCCGCAATGCACCCGGGGGTACAAGCAGATCCAGCATCGTGGAGCAGATTTCCGTTTTACGGAATGCGATCTCGGGCTGAACCCTACTGCTCTGTTAGCTGGCAAAGAGAGAAGATTCCTGTGTTTGTAATGGAGGAAACAAAGAATAGCAATGATATATAGTGACATTGCTTGGAGACTGTAAGTATTAAACTATGCAGGGGGATATACTAGAGAGTAGTAAAATTCAAGAAAGAGTCTACTCTGTAAAGTGGGAAAATTTATAGGGAGGTTGGGCCGCTGTGTAGTGCCGTATCTAGGGTTTCGCGAAAGTCTGTCAATTGACACCCAGTGTAGTCATAAGTTTGCTTGTTAACTTCGTTCTGCAGGAAAAGAAAAAGATTCGAGATTTATTGAGGTGATAATCCCCGAAAGACAGCTAATCGCACGAAGTTGCTTACTGGCCATTTACAAGAAACGAAATTGGATATCATGTACTGAGTTGAACTTCTATTGCACATATTTTTAGTTCCATCCAAAAGGTACAGAGATGAATCGTCAACCATGGCATCACAATCATGACCCTTACATCCGGGTGCGCTGGCGGGGAGCGGATCGGATAATGTTGTCCACTCGCAAGAGAAGCTAAGACCTGTTAGCGCAGATTTGGAAAGGGGAGTAGAGTGACATACCTCAGCAGCCTCGGAGGCAGATGAAACAACAGCCTTCTTCAACTTATAGGCTTCCACAACACCGAGGTCACGCATATCAGCGATACCACCACCGGGAGTCAGGAGATCCAGACCAGAGCTGGTCATGCCGTTGTTGATGGCCTGGCGGAGGCGGGTGACGAGATCACTGGAGTCCAGACCGGCATTGTCAGCCAGAATGGTGGGGAGCTGCTTGAGAGCGTGGGCGAAAGAGTCGACAGCAAGTTGCTTCTTGCCGGTGGTGTTCTGGGCAGCCTGTTCGACGGCCTTGGACATGACCATCTCGGCGGATCCACCACCGAGTGTGACACGGGGGTCCTTGACAGTCTGTGAGAGGACGGCCAGAGCGTCGTGGAGAGAACGCTCTGCCTCGTCGAGGAGCTGCTCGGTGGCACCGCGCAGCACGATGGTACAGGCCTGGCCAGCGGCCACACCAGAGAACTTGATCAAAGTATCCTCGCCAATGATCACCTCCTCAATAGTGTCACATCCACCAAGCTTGACCTGGTCGGGGTGGTCGAAGGTGGAAGCAATCTCACCACCGGTGACAAGAGCCAGACGTTCAATGCCGTCGAAGTCGGCGTGCTCGATGGTCATGATACCAGCCTCGGTGAACAGCTGTTCGGGCCAGTTGTAAATGAGCTGACGGTTGACGAAGCAGTTGATACCGTGGGACTTGATGCGCTCGACCTTTTGGCGCATCTTCTCGCGCTCTGCCTTCTCCAGCTCAGCGAGCTTGCCAGTGGATTCGACCTTGACTCGTGCGCCGAAGATCTTAACCTTGTCTGTGTCCATCGCTGTGTTGGCAACCAGAATCTTGGCGTTCTCCAACCGCTTGGGCTGGTTCACACCGATCTTCTTGTCCATAATGAAACCCTCATCGAGGTAAGAGTCGTTCAGCTTGCCTCCGGCCTTCTTGATGATCTGGATGTGGGAAAGGTCGGTGGAGCCCTTAAGACGGAGCACGGCCTCACAGGCCAACCGGGCGAAGTGGTCCCGATCTTGTGCGAGAACCTTCGAGCTAAGTGTTGTGCGGGCAATGGAGTGCAAGTCCTTGCGGAAAGCCTCGGGGTCCTGGCTGCGGTCGACTGCAGAAGCCTCGAGAGCGGCAAGAGCGGCCTTGCTCGCTATCCGGTATCCTTCGATGATGGTCTGGGGGTGGATCTTCTTGGCAACGAGCTGCTCGGCCTCGCGCAGCAACTCGGCGGCCAGGACGGTGACCGAGGTGGTTCCATCACCAACTTCGTCATCCTGAACCTTAGAAATGTTGACCAGAACCTTGGCCGCGGCGTTGTCCAAGGCGATGGACTTGAGAATCGTAGCACCGTCGTTCGTAACGAGAATCTCTCCTGTAGAACTGTAGAGAAAAGTGTGTCAGCATTGCCGATGTCATAGCACATATTCCCTCAATATCAATAGCTCCCCACATACGCAGACTGGAGGATCTTGTCCATTCCCTTGGGGCCCAGAGTACTCTTCACGAGGTCTCCGACGGCGATGGCACCGACGAAGGCCGAAAGACGAGCGTTCTCGCCCTTCTCCTCAATGACATCGTCGCCAAAGATCTGTGTGGGATTGCCGAAAGTTGCCTATGAGGGGTAGAGGTTAGCCAGCACGCACGAAGGGTTTCCCATCTGGAAGGGATTGAACGAGGATCTCATACCATAGTGACCAGCGTAATAAGGCAATCGACCTAAGATCAAATGTCTCGCTGGAAATGTTGAAGCAACTTCTCCTGTCAACAGTGGGGGGGAGGGAAAGGAGAAAATCCGCCGCACGATTGGCTGGAGCTTCTGATTGGCTGCGGTGCGTCACCGCCCATGTCTCTCGACGTTTCTATCTCGTCTCGTCGTGACCCTCGCTGCAATTGACTCTTAAACTATTGTTTGTGAGATCATGGCGGACTCTGGAGAAGTCGCACCCCCTCCCGCGACCAAGCGGCCTCATTCTGAAGTCGAAGCTGAGGACAGTGAGTCGTTCGCATGCTGATATCCACCCAGACCGCTTCCTCTGTTCAAAATGGTTACTAATTGTATGGAAATCTAGGCGACGATGAGTCTGACGATGACTTCGGTCCCGCACTCCCCTCTGAGGTTGCGCCGCAGAAGAAACGGCGCAAGCTTCCCTTCGAGAAGGTCTTCGTGAACGCGCTACCGGTTTCCGCGAAGTACTCCAAGTCGCTCATGCACAAGGATCAATTGTCCTTTGTAACTGTCGCGCCCTTTACAGATTTCGTGGTTACTAGCTCCATGGATGGATTTGTCAAGTTCTGGAAGAAAATGGCGGAGGGAATCGAGTTCGTGAAGGAATTCCGTGCTCACCCAGGCGAGATTCGGAGTGCCACGGTCAGCGCCGATGGTCGCAGCTTTGCGACAGCTGGAGCGGACAAGACAGTCAAGATTTTCGATGTCATCACATTTGGTGAGTTGGCCCGCTGAGTGGCGCTTGAGGTGCATTGCTAACGGCGATAGATCTCCTGTCCATGTACACCCTGGAATTCGTTCCTCGATGTGTGTGCTGGGTACACCCGCGCGGAGCATCACTCCCACTTCTCAGTGTGACCGACGAGTCCAGTAATACGATTCAGATATTCGATGGGCGTGGCGAAAACCCTGAGCCCTTGCACACATTGAAATCGATCCATCGCAGCCCCGTGGTGTCACTAGCATTCAACAGCGTATTTGACTGCGTTGTATCGGCAGATGAAACAGGAATGGTGGAATACTGGCGAGCAGGAGACGGATCCTTTGAGAAGCCCGATAATGTCTTCGAGCTGAAATCCTCGACGAACCTTTTCGCATTCAAGAAGGCCAAGTCGGTACCAACAGCGATCACGATCTCCCCATCCGGAGAGCACTTTGCTACAGTTTCTTTCCCAGACCGGCAGGTCCGTGTCTTCGACTTCGCCTCAGGAAAGCTCTACCGCACATATGACGAGTCAATAACCACCATTACAGAGATGCAGCAGGCTGGAACAGCGCCCTATGCACTCGACGAGGTAGAATTTGGACGACGTCTGGGCGTGGAGCGCGAAGTTGAAAGCGACGCAACCCGCAACAAAGTGAATGTGTCGTTCGATGAGTCTGGTCACTTCATCCTCTATGGCTCCCTCTATGGTGTCAAGTGCATCAACACCTACACTAATCGCGTGGTCCGCGTTTACGGCCGTGACGACCCATTCCGTGCTCTTAACCTCGCCCTCTACCAAGGCCAGCCGCAGCGCAAGGGCGTCGTTACAGTCTCCATGGCCGCAAGTAGCAACCCCCTGCTCCAGGAAGCAGAGGAACGCGACCCGATTCTTTTCACCACCGGTTTCGCCAAGGTTCGTTTCTACATGTTCACCAATGAGACGGAGGTTTCCAAGTCTACTCGCGACATCCAGAATGAAAAGCCCACCGAGTCTACTTCTGACAAGGGAGCCGCTCCCACCAAGGCCGCCGAGACAGGCACTGCTGCGGTTCTTCATACCACGTACGGTGATATCCACTTGCGTCTGTATCCGTCCGCTGCACCGCGGGCTGTGGAGAACTTCGTCACACACTCTCGCCAAGGCTACTACAACAACACGATCTTCCACCGTGTGATCCGCAAATTCATGATCCAGGGTGGTGATCCGCAAGGTGATGGTACTGGTGGCGAGTCCATCTGGGGCGGGGAGTTTGCCGACGAGTTCTCCGTGCTGAAGCACGATCGACCGTATACACTGTCGATGGCAAACGCCGGACCCAACACCAATGGCAGTCAGTTCTTCATCACCACGGAGAAAACGCCGTGGCTCGACAACAAGCATACCGTGTTTGGGCGTGCGGTGCAGGGATTGGACATCGTGCACAAGATCGAGAATTGCCGCACCCACAAGGAGAAGCCTGAGGTCGACATTAAGATCGTGAGCATCAGCATCTCCTGATGTGCCCCACCTCTAGTAAATTACAATGTATATAAGGAATGATGAAAAGCGCGCACGCATTGAGCTATGTACTCAGTTCCCAACTCGAGGAACGGAAAATAAAAGAAAAAAACCCTATCATTAAAACAACCATATTGATCAAAAGGCGAGACCCAACGCAGGCACCAAGAGCCAGCATAGCCAAATGCCGAGGCCCAAATCAAGAATATCAAAAAAAGATCCAAATCAGATCAACACCTATAAATGCATGAAAATACCTCAAATAACTCAAATAACCCCAAATTCCCGAGCTCAAACTTGTCTTGTCTCCATATCTCCCGGGTGTTCCACCTTGGACAACTTTGACCGGGATGGCACGGGTGTACTGGACTTGGCCATAGTCGACCGTGAACTGGTGACGGACCCGGTCGGCAAGCCAGGCATGACTGGCTCAGTCGGACCCCAGGCAGCGTCGCGCGGCGGAGACGCCGTGCTCAAGGCGCCGCTGCTGCCGCCGTGGTAGAGATTGGGTCGTTTGGCATCGTAGCGGCGTTTAAACCAGACGCCCAGTGCGCCGATGATTCCGAAGCCGATTACCAGGACGATCAACATGATGACCCATTGGAAGTGAGTGCTCCACCTGTTCCTGTTAGCGGGATATGTGAAAAGAGGATGCTCGAGGGTCCCACGCACCATGACTTCTTTTCCTCGGTGGCGGATGTGTTGGCATTTGATTTGGAGGCTGTGCCGGTAGAGGTTGAGGATGCGGTCGCGGATGTTCCGCTACTCGTAGTCGTGGCCGCAGAGTTGGATGTGCCGCCTGATTTGCAGTAGTTGTTGTACCAGGTGGAGAGAGTGGACTGGTCCTCAGTACTGCAGGAGGAGCAGACACTGCCGGAGGTTTTGAGGCCGGTGAGCAGCGAGGATTGACAGAAGCAGGAGGTCCAGGAATCGGTTGCGCCGGATTCACAGGAGGTTTGGGCGTTTGTCAGGGCAGTGCAAGTGAGGCCGCATTGTGGGAATGAGCTGGAGGCGGAGGCGGGGAGGATGCTGGCGGATAAGGCTGAGAGGGCGAATGTCAGGACGAGGAGGATGGAGAGGCGCGACATGGTCGCCATGGATATAGTAGTCGTGGATTTGATGTCGAAGAGATCTTTCTGATCTGTGTAAGCGTCTCTTCAGTGGCCCATCCTGCGACAGAGAACTTTAGAATGAAGTGGAGTGAACGAGAGGAAATTGGGGGGACCCGGTTTCAGGGCGTTTTTTTTTTCTTTTTCCGCCCTATTTCCTTTAGACCCGACTATTTGCTCTATTAATTTCCGTTTATTGGACTTATTGACCTTATTGTATTCTTTCTTCTTTGCCAAGTACTTCCAGTCCTACAGTGTCATTTGCCGCAAACGGCCACATTCTGACAGCTGCCATGCTGCCATAGAGCTGAATCCGGTAGGGATGTTCATCTCGGGAGTCTACACGTATAGTTCTACTTCTACTAGGCTATAATCACTGACGGAGAGAAAATAATTCGTATTGAGATCTGGCTGCGATGACTTCATTCTTCCACTCTCTACGTAGTTACACTACAAAGTCCTTGTTCAAGAGACTCCGCAGTCCTCCGCTTCATTTCGCTCTTCATCAACCCCAGACACGGGCCCACCTGCTCCGATCGGCAGACCGAGAATGCTTATACATACATAGTACGAGTAGTCTCTTGTATCTGTACTCGTACTGTGTCGCTGTATTCTCTACTCTGGTGTGACCGATGTTCCTGTGCCTGACACCAGCGCACAGGTACTTCGTGTCGCTGACCTGCATGCGCCACTCTACGAAGTACGGCCTACCGAAGTACATAGAGACATTTTAGCCGTCTCGCTTAGGGACTTTCTAAAGTTTCTGGAAAGCGGATATTTAAAGTGGAGAGTGTCATCTTTAAGGACGTTTAGATGGAGTGCACTTAAGTAGACATACATATACTTAAGTATGTATGGATGCGATCTCTGATTGAATTCAGTAATTAAAAATGTCAATGGTATGATATTAGCTGCTTAACATTGGAAGTACTTAAGTATGGCGAGGATAAATAACAGAGTACATATAAGTAACTCGAAAATGCAATGGATTCTTCCGAGTCCATGGAGAACGGAGGGGCTCTAGAGCTCCAGATTGACTCCCCGCATTCTTCCCACAACCAACCTTGAAACATGCCTTCACGCCAGCTCCTGTCCACCCTCCTCACCTCCCTCAGCAGCACCCGCTGGTCTCTGACGAGGACACTCCGAAGCGATAACCCACTCGATCTCAATGGCGAACTGCGCGGCACTGCGACCTTCACCGCCCAGAGCCCTGGCGACTGGCTCTACTGCGAAGAAGGTGACATGCCCGCCAATATCGGTATTCCCATGCAACCGGGCATGCGCTGGTCCAAGAAGTACATCTGGCGCCTGGGCCAGGACACCGATCGGATCAGTGTGTGGTTCGTGAAGGTCGCCGCCGGCCCGGAGGAGGCCGATTACCTGTTTCACGACTTTGACTTCGATGTCGACACCCTAGTACCCGAGGAGAAATCGGCGGCGCAGAAGGATCCCGGCGAGTTTGTGGCCTCCCCTGTACCACCGGAAGTTTTGGCATCGGACGCCGGCAACGAGAACTCAGTGCTGAACGCGCGGGGCAACCACCTCTGCATCAACGACATGTATCGGACAGCGTACGCGTTTCGGATCGAGCCAGCGACCGGCCAGGTCTTAAGCTGGGCAAGTCGGCATGTAGTCAAGGGACCCAAGAAGGGCCAGGAGATTATCAATCGGTACGAGAAAGGGGTCTGAGGTGTGGGAATGATATACGCCTTACATCTACGCTCGACTGGCACACAGAACAGACGAAACTCAAGACCCGGGTCTCCTTAATGTTGCATTTCACCTCGCATCTCAATCGCTCTTTACAGCGTGTAAATGAAATCCGGTCTTTGGTCGCCCAGCAGATCAACTTGACTTTGATCCATACCCTCCACCCAGGCATCGCGCTCGCCGCGGCGGCGCTTACCATTCTCGCGCCGCAGCAGCAGATACTGCACCACAGACCCGCCAAATAAGAACAAAACCAGGTAGGCGAGAACCACTCCGTGGCCGGGGTAGTATCGCGGCTTGTCTTCCTCGCGGTAGATGTTGGAGGAGACAATGCCGTTGAGGTTGCCCCAGCCGATGATGATGCCGATGGAGACGCCTCGCTTGTACACGCCTAGAGAGCGAATCAGTTTCAATATATCCATGTATGAAGTAGGGTCAAACTCACCCTCGGTGTTGTTACTCGCCCATGAGATCGTGTTCGCAATGGTTGGGTAGATGCCCATGGCGCCCAGGAACACTCCTGCGTAGCGCCCCCCGGCAGATTCGCAGCCCAGTAACATGGAGAATCCAGCCATTCCCAGGAAAGAAACGGCAATGTTGCATAAACCTCGCTGTCGGGTGCGATCAGCAATGTACCCAACTGTCACCGTCAAAATTGCAGCCGCTGCATAAGGAGGGACACTCAGTAGTTGAGCACGAATGGAACTGTAGCCTGCAAAATTGAACAATCAGTCAGCAAAGCCACTCAACACTACGAAGTACAGCAAGAAAAGCAATTACCCTGGAGAACGTTAGCTCTGTCGCCCATACGGACCGAGAGTTACTCACCAGTTCACTGATAATGGTCGGCACAAAGAGCGAAAACGCATAAAGCGCCCCGTCAGCTCCCATATAAATCACCGCCCCGGTATACGTTTTCCAATCCTTCACGCTGGCCCAAAAGTAGTCCATCTTGAACTCCTCATGTTCGGCACTGGACTGCTGATCCAGCGCAAGACGCCTCAACACCCGCTTGCGGTCGTCACTGGAGAGAAAGCGAGCCTGGTCCGGGAAGTCATACACACACCAGAACGAGGCCACACCGATCAGGAACGTCAGCAGACCCTCCAAGATGAAGATCCACGACCAGCCTGCCAGCCCTCCTACGCCGTGCATTTTCGCAATCGCCGCAGCCAAGAGACCTCCAAAGGATCCGGCAAGTGCAGCCGCCGAGAAGAAGATTGCCATTCGTACTCCAAATTCTGATCGTTTGTACCAGCATGAGAGGAAATATCCCACGCCGGGGAACAGTCCCGCTTCCGAAAGACCTAGGAACCAGCGCACAGCCATGAGGCCAGCGTAGTTATGGACTATGCCCATCAGTGTCATACAGATACCCTGGCTGGGTCAGTTGAGCCAGTACAAGTCTGAGACGAAGCACATACCCATGACATCATGATCAAGGGAATGAAAATACTCGGGCGCAGCCGCTTAAGCAAGATATTGGTCGCAGGCTCGAAGATCGAATACGAGACAAAGAAGATGGTAAGTGTGGCATTGAACTGGGCATTTGACATGCCCAGGTCATCTTGCAAGCCGACGAGCTTTGCATTGCCGATATTTGTTCTTGCGATGGGTCAGGTTTCGCCTGGCACGGAGAGACAGTTTTCTTACCGATCCAGAAATGAGACTAGATAGAGGAGACTTAGCCAGGGCACGAGGCGAAGATCGAGTTTCCACAACAGCTTCCGATCCTGCGGCAGTTAGTCATTTGAAATAACCTCTGTTGCGCACAGTCTCGGCTCTGCACACGATACCAAGGGATGGATCACACACGATTGCCGCTCGTTCTTCCTCACTCCGTCCTTCATCTGGATCATCAACCCCGGCGACGATGGAGCCCTTGAGATCCAAATCACGCTCTGGGTCCGACAACCGGGACGCGGTCGGTTTGTCGTCTTCCAGTGCCATTATACACGATCTTGGCCAGAAGGTACGGAGTACCTGAAATGAATTCCTGCAAAGGAGCCGGGAAAGAGGGGCTGGCGAGTGCCGGGCTTAGAAATGCGGGAGCTTATATTGCATGTCCTTCTCTCGACGCTGCGCGATCCGAGCCAATCATGGTTACATTTTGCATGCCTGCGTGCAGGGGTTGCAATAGTTTGGATCTGATCGGCGGGATCTGCGGGGATTTGAGTGCTTGGGGAGGATCGGCGTGGGGAAGTGATGCATAGGAGGGTAGAGTAATCCGTATTATCTCGAGCGTGAGTACTCGGTACGAGTACATAGCTACGAGTAATCGAGGGTAGGTGGTATAGAGGTGTACAAGTCGGATAATTGTGTCCAGTCGTGTAGTATGAATCTACTACTGGAATCAACCGGACAGAAAGCCGAGGTGGAGACCCGAAAGCTTGAGTTGCAGACATTGACATCTTGATATCGATCTTGTACTCCGTACCTAGGTAATGATTTGACTCTCAATCATTGAGAGGCAGCATGCCACTGAATTGCGCCGCTCCCTCCACCGGCGCTAACCAGGGAGGTCTGCGATCCGTGAAGATTTCCGCGTCGGGCTTTCGTCTCAGCAGTCGAGGATCGTCCATAATCCCCGACCGAAGGACGATAATCCCATCAGGCTCTCCATCCTTGATTTTCACTCCATACAGCGGTGTTCCTGTGCCTGTTAGTGAGGTTCAACATTTGATCGTGTTCAATAGTTCAATACCACAGTCTGGACAGAAATAATTCCGAATGTCATTACCACTGTCGGCGGCCTTGGCCACTTCTTTGGGGTTGCCGGAGATCTCCATGTCGGTCGTCTTGACCAGTAGATTGTAGGTGAAGGGAGCTCCAGTGAGTTTGCGACAATCATCGCAGTAACATAGTCCCTAATGCCGTCGGTGAGATTTTTTTTCGTCGATCTTCGAGGGACTCACTGTGGTTAGAGGCTGTCCATTCAACTGGATTCGCACTTTGCCGCAGAAACAGCCGCCGGCAGCCATTTTCGTTTTGTTTCGTGGGTGGACTATAAGAGTAATAATGTTGACGGTAATATTGCTCGAGAAGTGATCGGCTCCCGGATTCCAGGGTGAGTTAGTCACCCTGCCGCCCTAAACTGCTCAGTGAGCAACCTGATCGCTCACCCCGGTGCTCTCCCCTGATCACTTGGAGGCAAAATGTCACTCACTATTTCCTTAATTTACTACCTTTTTCTACTCCTTCTTTTTGGATATTTCGTGGTGTATCAATTTCCACAAACGACTTCATCCACATCGGAGGCTGCCTCGAACAACCCCGACCCCAACGATCAGGTTGAGGAACTAGATCATGAAAAGTTCTATCATCACCCAGCTTGGTCACAACGCTGGCATCACCCTGAATTCACTAAAGAGGCCTTTTCGAAATATGAGCAAGAGCCATGGTTCAAGAATGCGGCTCGTCGTCCTTCCCATCAAGTCTTAACCCAATTCTTCCCATGCAATCTTCCTTGGGGATTTATTATCTATCGAACAGTCTATACGCCTGAATCTGAAGAGCTATGGCCAATTGTGCTAGAAAGAATTGCTGAAAGACTGAAAAAGGGGGTTATGTCTGAAGCCAGAGGCAATGAATCCCGCGTTGAACAATTAATGGTTAAATCATATAAAGATGTAATCATTTCTGACCCTCATCGTTGGAATACTGCCAATATTCCACAAATCCGCAGTCATTTCGTTGAATATCTGCGTAAACTCAACCAAACGGAATACTCTGATATTCCTTGTCTTGCCTCTTGTCTTGTGATTGATGAAAAATCACTAAAATCAATTGTCGAGAATGAAAAATATGGGTTTCTTGGGGTAATTGATGGGTGGTATAACCCCGAAGAAAAATACGACGTCGCTTCTTACCGCGGATTTATGAGGGTGCAACTCATTGCCTTATGGAGTCTCTATTTGGATTTTGATCGGAACCCCATGTGTATGGTGTGCCCGGATTTCCCTGATGGATGGATTCCAGTTTACGATGGCGGCTATGGGACGATTCAGGATGAAGATGGAAATGAATATGTGCAACGCCTCGAGGGATCAGCGGAACGAGGACGAGGACGAGGAGGTTCTAAGTTGGTGAGAAACGAACTTCGAATCTGATTACCCGATTCGGAAGTAGGGGGTGCTTATGCCTCCAATACTTTACAAAGGGTGTTTGTACCTTCGATACTTCAAATTACCGAGGGCGTTCGCGCTTCTAGACTACAAATTAACGAGGGTACGCATGTTTTCTAATACAGTGGGTATGTGCGCCTCAATTGCTTTATTCTTTCTCAGGGTAAGGGGCGCTTACGTTCCAGAGCTGCCCTTTCTGTGTATGTGCGCTAGTTCAATTGTTTTTTTAATTGAAGAAATGTGTTGAATTCCTTCTTGCTTTTATGCTACAGTATGGTGTAAACCATATAGTGGCTCAGCGGGAATTTTTGGTAATTTGGTTTCAGAAAGCTATTTGATCTCGAGGCAGCTTGGATAGCAGGAACAGAGATACAGAGTACAGAGTAGATCGACACGAGTCAAGGAGTAAGGAGTAAAGTGTCAAGAGCAACGAGAGTCCCCAACAAAAGCCGTCAACGGATGTCGAATCCACTTCGCCCCCCAACTGAGAGGATTCGAAATAGTAGATCGACTGTAATATTCTATTGGATTGATTCAAATCTCATGAGATAAAGAAGAACTCTTTCAATTTCATATCTCACTGGATATTTCACACAAATGCTGTAAATTGTCAGCTGTGTACTAAGTAACGAGTAAAACAACATCAGATCAAACTTGGACTAATAGTGGATTGAGCTTTGTTCTTATTTTGTAGAATAACTGCTCAAGAATGGTCTATAATAGAAAATTATTGGTTTCTTAGTATTGCACCCTGACAGGGATGTGCCCATCTTCATCCAAACTCGCCCATCGGCTCTTATAGACACGACCATCTTTCATGACCCCCAGAACATGCTCATCCGGTCTATCAAACACAGTCACGTCCTCAAGGGGATTTCCATTCAAAACCACCACGTCGGCGCGGAAACCAACCTGCACCTGCCCGAGCTCAGTCTCGAACCCCATCATCTTAGCAGGATTAACGGTCGCACTGCGCAGCACCTCTAAAGGAGTCAAAACCTGCGATCGCAAAGCAAACTCATGCGTTTGCGCAGAGCCCAACGGGCCCAATAAATCAGAGCCATAACACATCGTCACACCAGCCTCGGAAGCAACCCGAAGGGCCTCCAGACCAGATTTGAGGACGATAGTATTTTTGACCTGCGACTCAATGGGCAGGTAGTTCTTCCATCGCTCCGAGGCCATCTGGGCATATGCGATGAGCGTCGGAGTCAGATACACCCCCTTCTCCGCCATGAGCTTGGCCGTGGGCGGGTCAACAAAGTTACCATGCTCGATACCTCGCACACCATTGTCAATACAATGCCGAATGGCTTTGACAGTATATGCATGGGCAGTAACGAACGTGCCCGCATTATCCGCGCATTCTACCATCGCCTGGATCTCCGCAGACGTGAATTGAAGATGCTCCAATTTATCAGTGGGAGAAGCGACGCCACCAGAGCCCATGATTTTGATAAAGTCGGCACCGCAGCGGATTTCTTCGCGCACAGCAGCCATACACTCAGGTACCCCATTACACATCCGACCAAGATGATTGTTGCTGTGGGTACCCCCGCAACACTCAGTGGGTTCATGGGACCCACGCAGATCGCCATGACCACCGAATTGAGACAAGGCATGTCCTGAGATCAAGATCCGTGGGCCAGGGAAGACACCATCTTCGATCGCCTCTTTCAGGGCGAGCTGAGCCCCACCGCAGTCGCGAATGCTGGTGAAGCCGCGGTGGAGCATTTGTGAAGCGGTGTATGGCTGTCGCAGGAGATGAACGTCATTTGGATTCCCAAAGGCTTTGGACAGATCCTCGAAGCCGGGGACTGCGCAGAGATGAACATGGGCGTCGAATAGGCCGGGACTCAGGTATTTGCCTTCACAGTTCACGGTCTTTAGTTCTGGTGTGGTTGGCGCAGATGATTCTGGGCCGACATAGGTGATCTTCCCCTCGGTCGTAATGACTGTTTGGTTCTCTTTGATTGTGCCCGCTGCGACATCGACGATGTTGGCATTGATGAATTTGTATCCCTTGGGTGCAGCGCGGGCCCAAGGCTTGATATCTGAACCGAAAACTTGTGCCATGATGAACTAATGCGATCGAATGAAGAATGCCGTGGTGAAAACTGGATATTTTTACCAGGTGCAGCAGTTACTGCGGGGATTGTCTTATTTATCTCTTCGCTGTACTTCCGACGTCGATCCGACCTCGGGATGATCTTCTCCGCATTAGTTGGAGATAAGAGCACTTTCATAGCTGAGGGGAAATTCTGGCATTATCTCTTGTTATTATTCAACTGTTTTGGAGTGGAATTCGACTTGAAGAGTCTTTTTTAGACGACGTGGAACAATTCACTGAAGCATCAAGGGGCACAGATGTCGACGTCACCGATGAAGATCACTAAAGATGCTGCAAGCAATGGGGATGATAGATCAAAAGGCGAACTGGTCGAGCTCCCACTTACATCTTACACTCCAGAGGAAGAGAAGGCCGTCTTGCGCAAAATTGACATGGTCATCTTGCCATTTGTGAGTGATTCGCACCGCTCCTTGTGGTTTCATCGTTAACATATGTCCAGATGTGCTTTGTCTTCTTCCTGCAGTATCTCGACAAGCAAAGTCTGAGCTATGCGGGTGTCTTTGGTCTCATTGAGGACCTCAATTTGACCAGCTCCCAGTACTCCTGGTCGAGCTCGATCTTCTATGTGGGGCAACTGGTGTCTGAATACCCCTTCATCTATCTAATGAGTCGACTTCCATTGGCAAAGTTTGTGGGCGCTACCGTGTAAGTTCAAGACTGCATGTTCATCCAGCTACGAAGTTTTCCCTCACGATCCACATGTTGACACCGTTCCCGTTATAGAATCATCTGGGGCATCATCTGCATGTGCCTAGCAGCACCGAATAACTTTGCTGGATTCGCCACGGTGCGGTTTCTGCTGGGGTTCAGTGAAGGCGCCGTCTCACCCGCTTTTGTCACCATCACTAGTATCTGGTACCGGAAGCAAGAACACAATCTTCGCACAGCGTTGTGGATCTCAATGAACGGTCTAGCACAGGTACTAGGTTGCTTTCTGATGTATGGCATTGGCAAGAGTTCATCCCTCACAATTGCTCCCTGGCGGGTGCTATTCATCATTTGCGGTGCGATAACCGTTGCGGCCGGCGTTGCATTCTTTTTCCTGATGCCCAATGGACCCAAGGATGCGTGGTTCTTGAATGCTCGGGAAAGAGAGGTCTTATCACTCCGGATGGCACAAGACAGGGATGGCGGCGACAAGACGTCTTTCTCTTTCGCCCAGCTCAAGGAGACACTCATGGATCCTAAAGCGTGGATAATCTTCTGGTTTGGTGTCTTGGTCTGCATGCAATCGCCCGTTTTGACCTTCGCATCACTTGTCATCAAGTCAATCGGTTACACTAAACTCGAGACAATGCTTTACACGGCTCCATCTGGAGCTGTGCAGATTGTCTTGCTGTGGATAGGAGCAGGGTTGGTGTATATCTTTCCAAACCAGCGAACATTGGTTGTCCTCGTTCTTATCATTCCCCCACTCATTGGAACTGTTTTCCTTTTAAAGTTGGATGTTGCTGCTCAATGGGGCCTGATTGTTGCATCATGGCTGGTAAGTTCGTTCATTGATACGTGACGAGACCCTTCTTTCTTGATGATAATCTTAGGCTTCCTGTATCACCGCATCGATGACGATTCTCCTTTCGCTCGCAGCATCAAATTTCAAAGGAAACACCAAGCGCGCCGTTGTCAACGGTATGTTTTTCATTGGTTATTGTGCTGGCTGTATTGCCTCGCCTCAGCTTTGGACTCATAGCCCTCGTTACACGGAAGGGGTTATCACGTCGATTGTGACTTGGTGTCTTCTCTTCGCGGTGGTCATTCTATTTCGCTTCTTGTGCACGTGGGATAATGAGCAGCGCGAAAAGCAAGCGGCGAACCTCGAGTCCTTCGACGTCAATCACCATATTGAACTCGATGAGAATGGCTTGCCGCAAACGGATTTGACGGATAGACAAGATCGGCATTTCCGATATGTTTGGTAGTAAGAAAGACAAAGATCGAGTGTCACATGTTCATGGCAACAAGGCCAACAGGAAATGTAATAGCGAAATGGGCTTCAACCTCCCCACGGACTGTGTTGGAGTTCGATGATGTTTAAAACTCATTCATGTCTTGCAACAAATGGCATGCTTCGCCTTGGTGACCTGCCTCCCCGGGTCCCCAAGGCTTCGTCGAGCCAACAGTCTGTCGTGGGTTAAGTGGAGGGAGTTTCGAGGAGTTTCTGCACTGCCAAGCAATTTATTGTGCACCTGGCAGCTGAGAGCTCTGGGATTCTGGGAATAGGTCTTCTAAGTTGCATTGGGCCTACATGTCGAGAGACGGGATGCTAGTTGGACAGCCAGAGGATCTTGCCACTCAGGCTATCTTGCCAAATTTGATCATATTTCTTAATCTATCTACCTTGTCTCAAAGAAATCTAGATAAAATTGGTATTATCAGAAAGCTGGTATTTCTGCGGTTCTGGGGGTAGTGAATTTTGTCATAGTTTCCAGATCCCCACGGACGCAGATTCTGGCCTTCAATTTGACCAAATAACCGTCAGCGTCGAATTTGTAGGCAAATACCCACATTAACGGCAAAATTTGCTCTCCTGAATCTTTGGGATTGGGAACCGCATTGTACATTTCCTTGCTCTGCAGACCGTCAATTTCCTTGCGCATTGCAGCCAGGAATCCTTCCTGGAATGGATGGTTCATTACATCCTTGTCGTGTGCAGGCAGCGGGGGCAAATCATCCCTGTGGCGGCGCTCTGGTTTGGGAGCGTATAACCCAGCGGCGAATGCATTCAACGCAATTGGGGGATCTTCAACGTCTACCGTAGTGTATGCTGCCAAGTAGGGATCCTTCCTTGCTCCGCGGCTGCGTCAAGCTTTGCTGGAGTCATGATGAATACCTCTATCACATTGTCAACAAAAAAAGTTTCTACCGCCCCTGAGGAGAGGCTGGCCATGATTCGTTACTGCTTGTACTACTTGTGTCATCGGGAGGGGGTCTACCACGAGATTATGAATAAGCATGATCACAAGAACAAGATGCTGGAAACTGTGAGAGTTTTGACACCTATGATGTGTACAGCAAGAGAGAGGAACGCTTCAATCTCGAGAAGCCCAAGACAAGCTAAATACTTGTTACCCTGGGAGGTATGGATTCATATGAGCTAACATAAAAGCCTACCAACGACTTTACAACACTGAGCTCACTGAAGAGTTTTCCCCAAGGAAATTCGGTGGTAGGGTTGATAAGAAGAGTGCTCGAAGTGGCGCGTGTTGGGATGCGAATGTATTTTCGGAGGTGTTAGTAATTCGTTGAGTCGCGTTCCCATTCCTCACCATCATCTCTCGATTGTGACCCGTATCGAGGCCTGCGATACCGTAACTCAACTCTGGATTTCTCGGATTGAATCTTCACTTTAACCCAGTAGGCCCGAGCAGATTCAGGAATGATTTCCCCCGGCTTAACTTCAATTGACTCCACATCAATTAGTCTCTTCAAGGCCAAAGTTGTCGCAGATACCCAGTAGTCATCCCCTGGTCGCTTGTGCATTATGAAACATATGTCACGACGGACCCTCCAATCGCGACATTTGGCCGCAGACCACAAGAGCGCAGGCAAAACAGAGTACCTGTAACTGAACGGCGAAAATTCGGTGTCACTTGAGCGGGTAGCCGAGTCTGCTAGAATCCTTGCAATATTTGTAATATGCTGGAACTGCTCCAGGTGGTTATCATAAACCATCTCATCTGGATTTGGGCTTTCGGCGACAGCAAGCTTGATCTCGATGATACCGATCCATAATGAACAGGCTTTAATGTTATCGCAGTCTTCTGGCGCAAGACCATCCAATTCGACGAGGGTGTCCGTGAGACGACTTCTACAGAGTCGAAGCTTGTTCAAAACTATTGCCGCGCTGCGGCCGATGGAGCTTGCTGGTCCAATTTCAAACTCGCAGGCGGTGCAGTTCAGTATTAAATCCGAGACGAGCAACCTGAATTTTTGGATAGTGTCCATTTGATCAACACCTGAATAGAGAGGTGAAGTTATCTTTGATGGAGCGGCTGTGATGCTCGGGCATATCCGATTTTCGCCATCAAGAAGTTCGAAACCCTCGACAAATATCTCGGGATGAGAGCAGAAAAACCAGTGAACGTGGATATGTGCAAAAACCTGTCCCAGGGCCACCCCAGTAAAATCTTTATCTTTCTGAACATTCCATTCTTTGAAAATCTTATAACCGGAGACAAGGTGATTGCGAGCAGAATAGACATCTCCTTGGAATAGAGCAAGCACAATAAAAGCCAAGCATGTCACTAGCATTACTTTCTTGTAGACGAGGCTTGAGCTCTGTGGAGTTTGAATTTCCCGAGTAAGACTTTCCCGGAGGTAAGCAATGGCTTTCGTACAATGAAGAAGAGCCAGACTGGAATCTAAATGTTCTTTATCGATCGCTGGAATTCTTTCCAAGTGGGTATGCCATGCACTCATAGCAATCACAGCATGGCGGACGGCAGGATGATTTTGGCACATTTGGAGTACCAATCCGGACCAGAATGAATTCTGGAAGTAATGCGAAAATCGTACCGCTGTGTGATTTTGGTAGAAATCCAGAAGCCATCGCTCGTTCCAGGTGAGGTCGATCTGGCAGGCACTTGCCAAAGGCTGAGGAACGGTCGTGACCAATGTCCGAACTTTCGAGAAACATTGGATTTGCAGAGCTTCATTGTTCTGATTCTTGGCTCTGGATTCACGCCACTCACGCGTTCTCTTATCAACGCCTTGTTCATAACCGTCGCATTTCCTGCCTGTGCTTGTACATCGGGATTTACTGAGTTTATGATTCTGCTTCGTTTCCGTGTTCAAATAGTGATCGCGATCGTTAGGCTTGTGGTGAATGAAGACACCGCTGTCTCTATCATACCCCGGGCATTTGGTGCTCCTCTTCAGACAGACTGCACATTGTGGCTTTTGCTGGTCGCACTGGATTTGGAATGTTAAAGATTTCGGCGAATATTGATGAAGCTCACCACTCACCTTGACCTTTCTCTGTCTGCAAGCATGGCACCCTCTGGATTCGAATGGTTTGCCACCCATTTTCTCCGGTCAAATCTTCAGTCAATAGTTGAAGATAACAGGTTGAGTTGAACTTAGAAGCGTCAAGGCGGTACAGTAATTATGCAACTGCGGTTGTGTGGTCCAAAATCTAACATAAACTTTGCGAGTCAGCTAGAGAGCGGATAGATGACCAGGAATCGTACGAGCGAATCCACCAAACTATGTACTTGACTGCTTGGCGCGGAGCTAGTCTGCGGTCAAAAGTCGGTGGGAGGCGGGGAAAGAGTCACGTCTCTTGGCATCTGCAAATCGCCATATTTGTGGGCACAAGTAGAAGCTTTGCCTTTTTGTACCCTAAGTGAAGTGACGACTTGTGTTTTTCAACCCAACATTCTCTTCTTCCATGGCTTCCTTCCATAGCTTTGCAAAATGTCTAATTATCGCTTCCGCATAGGTCTTTGGGTCCACAATATCCATTTCGTGTGAAACATTAAAAGCATACTCTTGGGAGTGTTCCAGGGTGACCAGAAGTGCCGTGGTTTGTCGTTCTCCGGTTTTGTTGTGGTTGAGTATGAGATCCCTGAGCCGATGACATATAGAGCAGAGGAATTCGTTTAGGAGGTTATTGGCTGTTCAGTCTATGGTATCACTGGTTGATCTTTTCCGTTTCTTCCCCTCAACTTTAGAAATCCCTCGCATCGACCCGACACCCACCGGATGGGCCATAACACCCATCGACCAAGACGCCTACGATGCTATCCTCGACCCCAGGAACGTCGATACCATTAAGAGAATATTTGCGACTACCTATGTCGATCGCCCACAGAAATGGTACAACTACACCGTCAATGGTGTGCCCAGCACCTTGCGAACCCACGACGACTCAGTGCCAGACCTCGATATCGAAATTCCGAACGAAGTTTTAGCTTAAATTTGTCCACTACTCCGTACTACTTAAGTAGCCTCAACGATCTTTGGTTCCTGAAGTTTGGGCTAAGAACTGAATGGTGTAGAGTCATAGCATAATTGCCCGCACGCTATTCTCGCATGGAATCTCCAGAACCAACTCGACTAAGTTCGAGCCTTAGCAAATCCCACAGTTTGATCAGCAATATTGTGATCAATGTAAATGCCGTGGAAGAATGCTGGGAGCTGTTAGACTCTGTAACTCGAATGGTTCTTCAGGACTTCAGGAAAACTCACGTTGACCGACCACCCACAGGCCAGCAGGAACTGCACTAGTCCCGGAGATAATCGCAGTGCAATTGTTGTCTCCATTGTCGGTCCTAGCCCACTGGTTAGACGAAATATCGAAAACCGAAGCCTTTCGGCTAGTCAGTCTCGAGTGTCCGATGGTGGCAGCAGTGATATTTGACTGTGACGGAATGCTCAACCCAAGAGATGGCGGCTGGTCGCAAGGGAAATATCCAGTCACAGTAGTGATATCTTCAGATTGCTGCACATGATGTTCTATGCTCATATTCTTGAAAAGAGAAGTAGCCTCGTCGACGCCACTGATATGGTGTTAGCCTACGCAGGTTGGTGTATTGTTGCGAAAGACGTGCAACTCACGTAATGATTGTGCCAGTTCCCGAGTCAAGAAGAACAGTGATATCCTTCTCGATTACCTTCCCATTGAAAGCGAGATCGGCTGAAATGACCCATTCCTCTAAAATAGAGGTCGTGGTGAGCTCTCCCTCAAAGAGTGATCTGTCCAACCTTCCCAGCACCTGAGTGCCTTTCTCACGCCCAAATGTCAGACCAAACCGACACTCCGGTACTTTGTGTTCAGCGCACAAAGTATGGAAGAAGGGTGATCCATCTTCAAAGACTGTGGAGTTTCCAAATCCGATAATGCCATCACCAGGTATCAGGTTGCTTTCATTCGCATGTTTACTGGCTGACCCGATAATCTGGTGTGTATTGAACATGCCAAACTTCACAGTGTCATTGTATAAGTTGCCTTTGACCTTGACAATAGGTAAGCTCGGCATGCCTTGGCTCGATTCAACTTTCTTTCAGCACTCACCATTCCTGACCCGGATCCATCACTGTTTGTCGACTTGAAAAGGACATCAAAGGTCTCATTGGTAGTAGAGCCAGGCCTGGGGCTGTAAATACCCTCATTTAATATTATATCAGAGAAGGCAGTGTCGATCAACAGTGATAAGTTTTTCGAGCCTCCAACATCGAATGAGCCAAACCAAAAGTTCTATCCTGAAGTCAGTCTAAGTGTTACTATCGAACAGGGTACCTGACTCACATTGGATGGCGATAATGTCTCCGCTCCTACTTGATTCTTGAAGGATGGGTGTGTACGAGGTATGAGGTCGATGTGGGAGGGTACCTGTAGCGGTGAGGCTACCGAAAGAGGAAGCCCGAGGGCAAGGAATAATGAGGATATGATCAACATCAGAGGTCATATGAGGATTAACAATACAAAATGAGAAGGACGCCGTATTAGGGAAATAGAAAGTGTATGAAATAGAGAAGAGGTGAGAAAGAGAGGCCCAAAGAGCTATTTGAGTAACGGTACAAGTAGAAGAAGCATTGAGCTTTCTAAATTTGTGGAACGCCCAGCAAAGTTCGACGCAATAATTCTGCAGGGGAATCATCACATACTCGTATTTTCCTCTCATGTGCTGCAGAACCAAAAATCGATCTGGACAAACTATTCACGATCGACGTGGGCCTTCAGCCTCAGTTGTGGAGGCTTGATCCACAACTGCCGTCGATTTGCCTTTGACTAGTCATGTCGCACGGAGTACGGAACACGCAGTACGGTGTATCTTGTCATACAAATGAGGAAGTATAAACAAACAGCTCGGAATCCTTGAGACGAAGACCATACCCCGACTCAAGCTTATTTGAACCGCCGAAGGTTCCAAGAGTCGATTGCCAATCGTTGTTGTCCCCTCGTGTACGCTAAGCAGATGAGGACTAGTGTCATGACCAAAGCCTCACGTTCCAAGGTTGCGAAGTTCCCGCAAATTGGCGCATCACTTTTCTCTCAGCATGCCTAGCCGCATCTCGAAGGGTCGGTCGCGGAAGGGCTGCTTAACCTGCAAGTAGGTGGGACGGCTTGAACTCAGTCTGATGCTAATCTGCATAGAATCCGTCGGGTCAAATGTGACGAGGAAAAGCCCACATGCCAGAGATGCCACTCCACCGGTCGGAAATGTGACTATGTAGCCGACTCATCGAAAGTCAATGCCCAGGATCTACAGATCGTCCAACATGTGCCGGGTATTGTGCAGCCGACAAAGATGTGGAAAGTCCCGTCGAGTGGTTTAATTCCCGAGTCCGACTATCGATCGCTAGAATTCTTCCAGCTTCACACCACCCTCTGCTTCGGTAAAGATACCGGGCTACATCTGCTGCAGGCAGCATACCACGAACCGATCATTCGGACTATCGCGACGGCCATCGGCTCGCTGCATCGCTCATTCGTGCACAATGAGAACGGCGTGATAGCCCGCGATGTGACTCAGTTCACGTTTCAGCGCTATAACAAAGCGATCCGACAGTTACTCGCAATCGACCCTCAAACCTCGCTGCAATCGAATGATATGTTTTTGATTGCTTGTATCTTATTCTACTGTTTTGAGTGTCTCCAAGGCCACTATAACTTGGCTATTCAACATGCTACCTCGGGTCTGAGAATTATCAAGCAACAGCAGTTGCTGGCGACCGGTCGGAATTCCCCCAGGTACATGCCACGAGAAACGGTCACATTGTTGTTTGCAATTTTGGAAAATCAGATTCTCGAAATCCAAGGGGAATCATCGCTCGCTGACGAATTGCGACCGGCACTCTTCTCGTCATTTAGCACACCCACATTCGATCACTCTCATCCTCCATCTAATATAGAGGAGATGCGAGCCTGCTTTGAACTACTATATAATAAGCTCACGCGCTTTTTGTCCGTCTGCGAAATGCTCGAGGAGAAATTCGAGGACTCGTCATTCGAGTTTGTCGCCCGAATTCAGCATCTCGAGGAAGAACACCTTCAAGTCCGCGCTGACCTAGAGGCGTGGGTCAATACATTTGAAACGTGGCTCGATGCCGGCGGCACGGAAGTCATCGAAGAGCCGCATAGTATTGCCATTTTGAAGATCTGGAAAACGGTGATCTCGGTCATGCTGGCGTTGGAATGGCCCAACACAGAGCTCTCGTGGGACGAGCATCTTGACAAGTTCGCACTAATCATCTCACTGATTTCGGACCTTCTGGGTGCCCCTTTGTCTTCTGATCCAGAAGATTCCAGTTCGGCTTCACATTATCAGACCCCGCCACCTACACAGAATGCGACAGCACTCCCCATCCTCCGTCCACGACCCTCCAAAAGGCTGGCATCGACATTCTCAATGTCTCTAGGGATTGTCACACCACTATATCTGTGCGCAACGCGATGTCGTGACTCCACTATCCGACACCGGGCAATCGATCTGGTCTCCACTTGTAATCGCCGAGAAGGACTATGGGACTCTGAGCTTGTCGGGCGCATCACTCGCCGCATTGTCAGTATCGAGGAAGATGCGGCTGGAATTCAACCGGGCGCCCGATACACCTCGGCTGATATCGGGATAGCCGCTCGTGTCAAATCGTTAAATCCTCAGTACGGCCAAGAACGGGAGATCACGATTCGGTACAACTGGGAAGGTGATAGTACCGCTCCCATCGAGGAGACCTTTACTTGGTGATACATTGAAACTGGCTACGAATATATGGATATTAGGAAAAGTCCGAACAAGGGATGAGTATAGATTCGGTCACAGAGACTGTAGAGTTGATACGAGTGATGTAGCATCACTTGCTGCACACGATACCTAATTACTGGCGGTTATTAAATGTCAGAAAGTCAAGGCTGACACGATTGTCCGGGGTCTAGCCGAACACAGATGCGCGTGTAATGAATGAGTCACAACCAACAGCGGCACCAGACGCAGAGCTTTTTAATTTAGTAAATGCGACGCCGCAGCTAGCTTAGGAGGAGAACAACCAGCGGCGCTAAATGTTTCTAAGCGATTGGCTATGGCGGCCCCGCGGGCTATACTTTTACGACACTATAATTACTACTCGTACACATTTCAACAAAGCCATTGGGATTATTTTTAGGATCTCCTTGAGACCTCTCAGGGATTAATGTGCAATTGTCTTGTTTCGGCTTGCTAACTCCTCAGCTAGCGCGCGCGAGATGATCCTTGAAATGTCATGTGCAGAGAAATGTCATGTGCACACTTCCATTCACAATTAGGAATATCGATTTTGACTTATAAAAGGAAGATGAGATGAGTTCAAAATTCATTATCCTATCTTGACTGAAACAACTATATCTTCACTATTCAGTGTCTTAATAGATATACTATTTTCCTTCATTAACGCTACATTCTTCTCGCGTCCTTATCTAAATATCAAACAAGTTCAACAAGAAAGGATCCGCAACATACAGCGCAGCCCCCTTCCAGCACCCAGGGCGGCAGCACCTCGAACAATACCTGCGGTGGAACCCGTGGTAGTGCCTAGAGCAACACCCCTCCCCGTGGTCACAGTATGGACGAGTCGTGGTACAAAGTCTTCACGCCAGAGTTCGACACAGTAGCCTACGATCCGCTGGACCCTCCCAAACGATACCACACAGGTGTCTTCGTTGAAACAGACGCGGGGACTCTCCAAGGAGTGCTACTTCAAGTCACCGGCGACATCATCGCCAGCAGCGGCATGCGGTTCGAAGTGAAAGAAAACTTTGTTCCTGCAGCAGAAAAGTATTTTCACAGAACTACAGAAGTTGGAAGGATTTGCAAATCCGATTTTCCACGAATAAGGGGTATCTTGGAAGCCTTACCCACACCGACCAAACAGCAGGGACTTGACTTTTGGAGCCTGGATTCAAATAAGCGGAATAAGCTTACTTGGACGAAGCAGAATGGGGATCTTTACGGGCCAGGCGAACAACGACGGCCAATCATGAAGTGTAATGAATGGACACATCAGCTTGCGATTCCGACTTTGCAACGCGAGGGAATTTTACATAGCTAAATTTGGGGCATCAGTTTGTGATATAGATGTGGATCTACTGGAAGAAGGATCACAGAACGAGAATCTCTAAATGCGTGAGGAAGGAAAGAGAAGAGAGAGGGAAGAGATGTGGGGAGATAGAACAGTTTGTCAATGTTACACGGCGTAACATACTTCACCAGCCTAGATCCCTGTCAATCAGTTGCATTATGGCCATCTCGGCGGGCCATACTTGAACAAACTCCTGGACCCGCCAGGACCAGTCTTCGTCCCACTGGAAATAAAGGGGGTAAGATGCACAAAAGAATTCCCAGAAATCAGGAAACCAACCGGAATTCTCCCAATCGACCAGTACGATGTCAAATGATCGTCCACCTTGATCGTTTGGACTTGCATTCTCCACAACCACAATGTTCTTCTGCTGAACATCCCCATGCGTCAATGTTGGTCGGTGACCTTGAAGGACGTCAGCGAGATATGTTTCGTAAAAGCGAGCTTTGTAGTCTGGGTGATTATTGCGGTCGACCGAGGCTCTATAGTTACTGACAAGGCCCGCAACAAAGGCAGGTTCGCCGGAGAAAGGCCCGAGAAACTTCTCATCGCCATGTTGGCTGTAGAATAGGTAGTGATGTACGCCGCCCTTGTCCAGACCTCCGAAAAAGTCGGGCCATGGACACTCGGTCTTTCGCATTGCGTCAAATATTAGTCGGAGTTTGTCGACAATGTCATCCTTCTCAGAGGGCGCAATGATGGCCAAATGGAATTCAACTGCACCCCGGGAACACGTTGCATGATTAAGAAAAGTTGTCTGGAATCATAGTACATCGCGTACAGTCGAGGGGCCGGAACTTCTGGGATGTGTCGCTCAAGGTAAACCAAAGCCTGGCCTTCCCAGGTGTTTATACAACCCCCATATTTTACAACAATATCGTCGTTCACCGCCACAATCTTGGAAGCATAGGTCTCCCACAGAACATTGGTACAAGCTCGGATTTCATCTGTTGTAGGTAGAAAAGGCAGAGGCTGGGAGTTCTGAAAGGGGACAGCCACTGGTTCCCACATCGTGAATAGAATAGTGGTCGACGAGAAAAGGGGTCGACGGAGGTAATATTGAAATATGGATGATTGCCTAAATGGAAGGAAATGAGTACCCGGCTCTTTCTGGCGCCCCTCCCGTCACTTCAGGAGGGGCTTCCCTGGTCTAATAAAAACCCTCGTCTAATGCAAATCACACCCAACCCATCAACTTCAACCCCCAAACCACCCCCAAAAATATGCCAAAATGACCCAAAACAAACAAAGAAGATAAGTCCTAATCTCTGAGTTTCTTTAATTTTCATTTTTTTTTTTCTTCCTTCCCTCTTTTGTCTTTATGCCGCCTACGAGGACGTGGCGCGCTTTCTTAGCTGACTGTCACATGACGGTCTGTCGATGTTGAGTTGGGTAACAATCAATCTTGATCCTCTTGATCCTCCCTGCTTTCCGCATATGTACGATCGTAGACGCTACAAAATTACCCTGTTGTAAGTATTCTAGAGCCTCATACTAGATTGAGGTAAGCCCAATCCCCTGGTCTTCCAAAGTTGTCCACTTCCCCAGAACAAACATCTCCCACCATGGATCATTAACCAAACATTTGCCTGTCAGAAATTCCATTTCTAGCTCCACATAAGACAAAAAAGACATGGTATACCCGGGCCACCCCAGCCGAGGATGTGAGACATGTCGCGTTCGCAAGGTCAAAGTAAGCCTTCTATCCTCCAGCTTAATGATCGAGGAGTCTCATTATTTAAAAGTGTGATGAAGCAAAGCCCACATGTTTGCGATGCGCAAAAGTCAATCGTCCGTGTCTGGGCTATCGTGTGCTAGATGACGGTCGCCCCCAGAAGCAATCCGCGATTCGAAAATCTCACACAGATACAAAATCCTCTATTCCAGGAATGAACCCAGCTTTGATCAGGTCTGGAAGTCAGACTTCGATTGTTAGTGGTGGAGTTCCAGATGCATACGTTTCACCGCTGCTGGACAGTCTGTCGAGATTTCCGCGTTTGAGCCTGAATCAAGTCAATCTTCATCGTCTGTCTTCGCATATTGCGCACCTTCCGCAAATATCTGGCGTGTACGGTGGGTGTTTGACTTGTCTGCCTGATGTTTCGGAGACATCGCCTCTGTCCTCTCCTCTCTATCCAGCTCTGTCCGCTCTTCTCCTCGCATTTATATCCCGAGGCAACGAGACCGTCGGTACCTTGAAAGATGCAAGTGAGAGTTACGGACATGCCTTGAGATTGACAAGACATATCATTTGTCGGAAAGAGGCAACGCGAGAGAGAGAAGTCATTCTGACTACTTTGATACTGAGCATGTACGAGGTAAGAGCCTCAGAAACCCACCCACCGAAAGACAAAACGCCTGGGTGAGCTTCATCTTGAAACGCGACAATTTACCAATTCCTTCAGGACTTAGTCAACGCTCAACAGCAGCCAACCTCGCTGAATCCACATGTCCGTGGGGCAATCGCTTTGATGAAGGCGCACTCGGTCGAATGTCATAAAGACGCCACCATGAAGAGGCTGTATGGGGCTTTCGCAACGCGTGTAGTAAGGCTGTCATCAGGAGAATCTTTCCTAAATATCCAGCTAACTTCACTTTAGATGTACACCTCCTACCGGAATTGTCTTCATTTGTCCGATGACGAATTTCCACTCACAATATCCGAGTTACGCGGGTTGCATGAGGCAGCACCGATTGCGAAGGGCCTTACGGCGGCGCGACCTGACCTTCAACCCGCCGTGTGCAAGCTCCTCGAGGCTCATCTGCTTCTCCGTGACATTGAAGCCAAGACTATGCCAGATAAAGACGCGATAGATACCTTGGAGGGAGTGATTAAAAGCATTGATGAGATTGAGACTGTCATGTCTCTTTGGCCGCAGAATTTACCTGCCGATCACGCACCCGAGGCCGTCCAGCTTTCTCCAGACGCGGTGGATTCTTGGTCATCAACGTCCCTAGTATACCTGGCGTTTTGGGTAGCAAATGCGTGGGCGCATTATCGCTCCGTACGCATTTTCGCCAACGATCTTCTCCTGTGGGCGTATGATTTGGTTACACCCGCTGTTATCACCGAGTCCACAAATCTCAGCTTCGCCGAGCTGACCATCAGAATGCAAGTAGCACACAAGCAGATCCAGTCTTCTGCTAGTGAGATATGTGCTTCGATGCCATATCATTTGGGATATTCAGTGCGAGGCTCCGATGAGCGACGATATCCGAAGGAGGGCTTTCCAGGCGGTCGCTACTCGCGGAAAATGTCCGCATGTAATATTGTCTGGCCTCTTTACACAGCGGGCGTCGTCGATGGGTTGAATCCATCACAAAAGCTATGGATTGCTCGTCAGTTGGACTTCCTGTCTCACCACGTGGGCGTGAGGCAAGCTTCTACGCTTGCGATGGGGATAAGGAGTCGCGTGTACGAGAATGACAAGATGGCCTGTTTGTTGATTGAGGAATCTTGAAGTTTAAGCATTGGCGATTGAAGAGAGTTTATGACTGACCCGACCTGGACATCTTGGGAGGATATTGAACGATCAAGTGATGATGGCATGGGATTACTTCATCGCAGAATATTTTTTGAGGCAATCTTCCGTCTAGATGCATAATATATTCAGTAATCGCCCGTCAATTTCTAGGCAGCGTTCTCCAATCCGAGTCGAACCTCTTGCAAAGTGCCGCAATGGCTTGCGAGATGATGTCGATCACCTCGTTTCTTTCGCGGTGGCTATGCACAACACCCAAATCAAATTTGTGACTTGATAATTTCCTTTCGTTTTCCCCCCTGTTTTTTTCAAGTTGGGTTTATCTGAAGGTGTGAAGCTCGGATATCATTGGCTCGCAAGCTCGATGTACGGTATTGTCCCAATACGCTTGGCAGACCCTGGTTTGCGAGTCCACGCTGGGGAAGTTTCAATGAAATCTCAAGTGAAGAAAAATGGGCGCAAAGATTTCTCACTTGATCTGCGGCATACCTCGACATAGCCATCAAGGTGAAAGATCATCCAGATCCACAAATATATAACACCGCGCCCAGTCGCTTGATCGCAATGGATCGTGTCTACTTTCAACAGCCGCCGCAGTCTTTGACGCAAGAACTCTTGAGACAACATTCTAAAGTTGGAAGATGATGATGACCTTGTTCGGAATTTGGCAGACGCTGTTGATAGCGACAACAGTCCTGACTACCGGCGTCAGCGCCAAAAGGCCAAATGTTGTTTTCATTCTAACCGACGACCAAGATCTGCACATGGACTCGTTGTCTTACATGCCCAATGTCAAGAAACACCTCATTGACCAGGGGACTTACTATCAGAAGCATTATTGTACCGTGTAAGTTATGACCTACTTAAGTATTCGAAGTCCATGTCTGTTCGCCTCTACTAACGACAAGAAGTGCACTGTGCTGCCCGTCCCGAGTGAGCCTGTTGACTGGCAAAGCTGCCCACAACACAAACGTTACGGATGTTGAACCGCCTTATGGTATTGAACCTTTATCCATTCCGAGACTTGAATTGCTCACAGATGACAGGGGGATACCGGCAATTTATCGACCAAGACCTGAACCAAAACTACCTCCCTGTGTGGCTTCAGAAAGCCGGATATAACACTTACTATACAGGAAAGCTGATGAACTTCCACCATATTCTCAATTACAACAAGCCTTTTGCTGCGGGATGGACATCTTCGGACTTTCTTCTTGATCCGTACACGTACAGCTACCTCGAAAGCGTCTGGCAACGCGACCGAAGCCCACCAAAAAGCGCGGCTGGACAATACAGCACTGACATTCTCGCGGAGAAGGCATATGCATACATTGAAGAGGGAGCTAGCTCGGATGCCCCGTTTTTTGTGACTTTGGCACCGATTGCACCACATGCCAATGTTGATGTTAATATAAATGGGTCAAATGTGTCGCATACCTCGGGGGACCCCATTCCCGCCGACCGACACAAGTCCTTGTTTTCAGACGTTGTTGTGCCCCGGACTCCGAACTTCAATCCTGATGTGGTGGGTCAGCACCGAAATAAATGTCTCGCGAGACAAGAACTAACAAAGGTTTATTCCAGCCCAGCGGCGTAAGCTGGGTCGCAAGGCTGCCACAACAGAACCAGACAGAAGTCGATTACAACGATGGCTTTTATCGTAACCGTCTCCGAGCGTTACAAGCCGTCGACGAGATGGTTGATGGTATTTTCCAGAAACTCGAGAGCTTGGGTATACTGGAGGAAACTTACGTTGTCTACTCATCTGATAATGGGTTCCACATTGGCCACCACCGTCTACACCCTGGAAAGCGATGCGGATTCGAGGAAGACATCAACGTCCCATTGATCATTCGCGGACCAGGCGTTCCGCAGGGTGCAACCACGGATATCGTAACGACGCATACCGATCTCGCCCCGACATTCTTTGATATGTTAGGTATTGACCTTCGTGATGACTTTGACGGAGCGCCTATCCCTCTCACGAGAACGGACATTTATGACGCTGTCACTACGAGGCATGAACATGTTAACGTGGAACACTGGGGAACCGTAAACTCGGAAGGAGTTTTTGGAAATTCATCAGCCGCGGGAAGTAAGTGAACGCATGTGTCAAAAGTCGACAGAGCACTAACAAGCTACACAGCCAAGGAAAATCCAGAGAATACATACAAAGCCTTGCGGCTGGTTGGAAAAGAGCATAATCTTTACTACTCAGTATTCTGCAACAATGAGCATGAGTTGTACAACTTGACTGTATGTCCTTCGTCGCTTTTATGTTTATGAAAAACGAGCTAATTACTGCTCCAGGCTGACCCTTACCAAATGAACAATCTCATGTCCTCTTCATCCAAAAGCCAAGATGGATATGCAGCCTCTGACCTCCAGAAGATGGTTCATCGACTTGACGCACTTCTCATGGTACTCAAGACCTGCGTTGCAAACGACTGCATTGATCCATGGGGTGTCCTCCACCCACAAGGCGACGTGAAAAACCTAGAGGATGCCCTCAATCCCAAGTACGATGCATTTTATGCGAAGAGCTTTGAGACCAACTCGGTCTCATTTACGAAATGTGAGGCGGGTCAGATCTTGTCGTCTGAAGGATCGCTCGAGCCGTCGGTGTATCCGGGGCAGGTGAACTGGGAGGATTTCTCGTAAACATTATCATGTATCAAGCAGACCCAGATTTTGATTCGTTGGTCTAGCTTGGAAGTGCTAGCTGATATAGTATATCGAATTGGTGATTATGGAATCTGCCTGCCTTATCTTTCTAAGGTTGCACCCCCTATACACGTATGAATTCTAGAACGACTCATTCTCCTGGATGCACACTAAGTTGAGTAGCAAAAATAGGGAATCAGGACTATTGGGGATATTCTGGAGTTGGAGGAGGCATTGTTTACTCATTAAGCGTCGAGGCAGCTTGTATGGGCAACTAAGGAAGAAATATGTCATACCATATTGCACTCCCAGGGAAATTTACTACTACATTCGGATGTCCTTGTTGAAGGCAGTGAGAAAATGTAGCATGTCAAGTCGTACGTATTATTACGAACCAGAAGCTCGCAAGCTCCGTAATTTACGCCCCTTTTCGACTCCACAAAAATAAGCTGACCAGCTGCTGGCCCCCACCGTCACGCTCCACCCTTTTTGTCGCAAGCTTTGATTCACCGTCACAACAATCTCGCAAGCCACCGTCATGATGACCAATTCGAGACTTTATCCATGGATCCAGCGTGTGAGGGGGCATTTCGCCCTGGTGTGAAGATCGACGGGCGGCCTTGCAGACTTCAGGATCATATGGGGGCAGAGTATCTGGGTATACAACAACCTCATCGACACCACATTGTCTTTGATGGTTGAACTTATAAATACCAAGAGTTGCTCCACGATATGAAAGTATTTCAAAGATAACCACTTCCAACCGATTCAGACATCTCGATCACAAAATGCGTGCGAATTTCCTGGCCGCGACAACTCTGCTGGCGACCGTCGCCAGCGCTGCGCCTTTCAACAGTAGCAGTCCGTCTGCCGATGAAGCTACTCGGTTCTCCTTGATTGTAAGACAAACCCTTCGCTTCGTACAAGTGATGAGCTTGATACTGACAGAGAGTTAGTACGGATTTCCACTGATCCCCTTTGCTAAATCCGCTGGCGACACTATGTCCATTACCAATGCGACCAACAAGTACTACCATATGAGGGAAATCGCTGGCCCATTGGACCAGAGCATTGTCCGTCCGAATGTGGATACGCTGTACTCGGCTGCTGTCATCGATTTGTCTCATAGTGATATTGTCATCGATATCCCATCCATTGACAATGATCGATACTGGATCTATCCGTTCTACGATCTGTGAGTGCTATGGCGAGCTCAGTCATCATTGAGGCAGCGGGAGTGCTGATTTTACCTTCAGATATGCGAACAACTTTGCCAATATCGGCTCGACCACCAACGGCACAGCTGGCAAATATCTCGTCCGTTATGACCCAAGCAAGGGCAGGGAGACCGGCGTGCATCTTTGCAGTCATATAACAGACAAAGGTGCTGACGACGGCTGCGATGGCTACGATGCTTATATCAACGCCCCGACACCATACGGACAGCTGATTGCCCGCTTCGAAGCCATGAACAACAGTACCGACTTCGACACAATCCACCAGCTACAGAACAAATCCACCATCCACATCACCACCCGTTCACGTTTAGGAGATGCCACTGCTCCACGACTGGGACCTAATATGCTGAATTCGTCCACATACTCCGGAGATATCCCAACTAGGATCATGCAAATGCTCGCCCGCTTTGCCCCCTACAACCCACCCCGTGATATCTCCGACCTACCGCGCGTCAACCGCATGCTCAAGACAGCTGGCATCGACAAAGGCCATTACAAATCCCAGGTTCGCAACCTGACGGCTGTCGCCCAGAGTGCTGCGCAGAAAGTCGGAGTGGCCTTTAACCAACCTCAAAACGTCATGAATCTGACCCACGACTGGCAGATGATTGCTCCCGCAGCACAGGGTGAATACAACACCAATTATGACATGCGCGCATTCATGGCCAATTGGGGCTACCTTGCCCTGACTGCCCAGGAGTCGCTGTACCCTATGTACGCCGGCGATGGGGACACCCTTGAGCTGGGCGCCGATGAGGCTTACATCTTCACATTCAGCGGGAAGCCGCCAGTTATGAAGCAAGGATTCTGGAGTCTGACGGCATACAATGCACAGAAATACCTTATCGAGAACACCCAGGACCAGTACTCGGTTAGTGATCGGTCTGGGCTGACATACAGTGACGGTACGCCTGTTTATGGAGATGACGCTGAAAAGCAGACACAATTCCAAGTTCTGGTTCAGCCGGCAGACAAGGAGCCACCAAAGAACTGGACTTCTAAGTAAGTTTTTCCTGTTTGGAGAACAGACTGAAGAGTTGGCTAATGGTTTGTAGCTGGCTGCCCGCGCCTGCCGGAGGTGGTCAATTTGACTTGACGCGTGAGTATATTATTCATATTGAGCTTTTAAGGACTAAGCTAACATCATTCTAAGTCCGATTCTATGCACCCGAAGATGAGCTCAAGAATGGATATTGGGAATTCCCGGTCGTGCAGAAGCACAAGGCTATCATTGAATAGGCGAGAGAGACCTTGGCCATGGAAAACAGAGAGTGGGCAGAAGTACATTCATGCGGTCGATATTTCCCCTGGAACTCCCCTCTCCACCCTCTCGAAGAACTCTAGCAACACAGAATTCACCTCCTTCTTCGCTTCGATTTGCACCCAGTGACCAGAAGTACTGACACTCCTGATCGTAAGACTATCCGCAATCTCACTCGACTCTGTCGAAATTCCTGCAAATTGTCCTGCAAGGGCAGGTGGCAGGACCATCAAAGTAGGACATGGTATTTTAGCCGACAACCCAGCCTCAGCTTCTTCTTGTAAATTCAAGTTTTCGACCAATACTCGATACCAGTTGAGTGCGGGTGCATGGTTTCCAACCATAATTTTCTGATGGATGCTCCGTTCTTCCTCTGTGATATATGGTGCCAGTTCGGCTTGACGATCTGCTTGTAGCCACGCCTCCATTGCCCCAGTTGGGCCCAGATGATCAGTCCAGACATCGTGGTCTTTTGGATAGAAGAGGGTGAAAAAGGAGTTGCTCTTTTCGGGGATTGTAAAGTTAGCGCCGCCACAAGAAAGAGAGAGAAACGTACGTGTTCATCAAGTATCGCACCAGCAGACTCAGTAACAAAGAAATCAATGTATCCGAATCTCTCCTTTCCCAGAAGCTGTTTCGTCATATTGTTCACAGCCTCAAGGTTAAATCGCTCTCCGGGCTTCGAATACGGCACTACCAGGAACGTCGTCGAGAGTAGTCTATCCGGGAAGTAATTCGCCAACCGGGAGAGTAAAATACTACCCATATCATGCGAGACAGCATGGACACGTTGTAGCTCTTCATGCTCCAGAATCTCGATCATCTCCGCCGCTATGCCTTTCGCCCTATATTCATTTTGGGAGATCGGCTTGCTAGTCCCACCGTAGCCGAGTAGATCTGGTACCAAAACGCCATGGCCTGCTGCGGCGAAGAAGGATATCTGGTGCCGCCAGTCATAGCTAGATGAGGGGAAGCCATGTAAAAACAGAATGGTTGATTTGGTGGGGATTGTAGGTGCGATGAGCACGTAGCTGTATGTGTGGTTTGTCGAAAGAGTGAGACTCTTTGCGTGTTTCGGGAATGCGACCGCGGCCATAGTTCTAAGTTTCAAGTTGTATGTTGAAATAGATTTACAGTGAGGTTCATTGTGGTTTAGATATAACCAACTAAACAGTACGAGGGGCGGCGACTTTTCGGAGACTTTTGGGGTTTTAGTTAGCCAAAACAGTTCGAGGTCTGTAAGGTTGACCAATAACATTGGAAATCATGAATATACTACTTGAGTACAGCAATGATGCACTGACAGTTCTGAAATGGTCTCAGTCAAAAGGTCCATGTTGATACCCCGCATGTGCGGCGCTTGCGGCGCTGTTGGGTATCTACAGCAATGTTCGAGATTGGCTTCTACTTATGTTTTTAGTGATGCTAAATATAGGATCAGCTGACAATTTTGGCCCCCAAGTCACCTGTGGGATCTGTTTACGATCTTTGATCCGCCCACGAAACGAATTGTATTCATGTTGAACTATGGAATCCATATCATTTTATGGTACAAATTCTGGCCTCCAGGCTGGTATTAACAATGGCACAATCAATGCACAGTTCTATCCGCCCCCAGGTAGGTTTCAAGAGCCGAGAGATACGGAATGTTCACTAATCACTTCTTGGCCCAGAGCGACCGGAAACCCCACCAGCTCCTCTCTCGACCGTCCCGTTCCCCCGCGACCCAGACTTTGTCAGTCGGGATTCACTGCTCGATCAGATAGCTGAAAAGATCTCAGCTGCAGGGTCTAGGATAGCTCTTGTGGGCATCGGTGGTGTCGGGTCAGTGCAAAAAAAAAGGTAGTGGGTGGGTTAGTGCTGACACGTCGAAAGGAAATCGCAACTGAGTATCGAATACTCCTATCGAGTCCGATCCCAATCGCCGGCAACATGGGTTTTCTGGATCCATGCAAGTAACCCGGCCCGATTCGAGCAAAGTTTCCGGGATATCGCCAACCAGGCCAAAATATCCGGGCGCAACGATCCCACAGTCAACATCTACCAACTAGTCGAAGGTTGGCTTCGGGATGGCAAGAGAGAAAAGTGGTTATTGATTCTTGATAATGCTGATGATGATGGGTTCCTTCGTCAGTCCTCTGCAACAGGTCAGCAGAGTCTGAAGGTCGGCCAAACCAATGCCTCCACCAAGCCACTATTGGAGTATCTCCCTCGAAACCCGAACGGATCAATAATGATTACAAGTCGGAACAAAGAAGTGGCGTTGAGAATTGTCGATCACCGGGACATTATTAAAGTCGAACCAATGGAAAAGCTCGAGGCGATAGAGCTTCTCCAACGAAAGGCCGAGCTACCAGCAGAAACGCCCGACATTCAAGAGCTAGTGGAAGAACTAGACTTCATGCCACTCGCAATCATACAGGCGGCCAGCTATATCGTACACCGAGAGCCTTGCTGTACGGTATCGCAATACCTAGAAAAACTGCGGAAGAGTGAGGGCTCAGCGAGAAAGCTTCTTGATTATGACGCAGGTGATCTCTTTCGTGATTGGGAAGCAAAGAATTCGATTCTAGTCACATGGCAAATATCCTTCGACCATATTCGACGTATCCGACCGTCGGCCACTGATTTGCTTTCTCTCATGAGCTTTTTCGATCGACAAGGAATCTCAGAGGATCTTCTCCGATTTCATGACAAAGCACAAAACGACGATTCCAACTTGCAGCAAATTGCGATCGAGTACAATGTCGAAGATACAGATAGCACATCTGAATCCAACATGGATCAAAACTTCGAGGATGATATAGCGACCCTGAGGGCCTTTTCATTCATCTCCATCAACAGAGACAGCACTGTGTTCACGATGCATCGGCTAGTGCAGCTGACTGTGCGTGCGTGGTTGAAATCAAAACCTGATGGACAGCTCGAGCGATGGAAGGAGAAATATATCACAATCCTGTGGCAAAGGTTTCCGACAGGTAAATATGAAAATTGGCCGCAGTGCCAGCCGCTCTTTCCACATGTGAAATTGGCTATGTCCCAACGACCGGAATCTTACGAGTTTCTAAGCAAATGGGCTACGCTGCTTTATAATGGGGCTTGGTATGCACAGACAATCGGGCATATTAAGGAATTACGAGATATGGCATCTGAATCACGGAACCAAAGATCATCAATGTTTGGATTGGATAGTGAACAGACTCTCGAAAGCTCTGTTATGGTAGCAGAAGCTTGCCGGCTTGAGGGGCAGTGGGAACAGGCGGAGCAGCTCCAGGTGCAAGTCATGGAGGCTTACAAGACGAAGCTCGGCGCCGACCATCCTCATACGCTGACGAGTATAGGCAATCTGGCATCGACATTCTCAAGTCAAGGTCGGTTGGAAGAAGCAGAGCAGCTCGAGGTGCAGGTCATGGAGACTTGCAAGGCGAAGCTCGGGGTTGACCACCCTAGCACATTGACGAGTATAGCCAATCTGGCGTGCACGTATAAGAGCCAAGGCCGATGGAAAGAATCAGAGCAGCTTGAGATACAGACCATGGAGATTCGCAAGACGAAACTCGGGGTTGACCATCGTAACACATTGATAAGTATGGGCAATCTGGCGTCGATGCTTCGGAATCAAGGTCGGTTGGAAGAAGCAGAACAGCTCCAGGTGCAGGTTATGAAGGCTCGCAAAACGAAGCTTGGGTTTGATCATCCTGACACATTGACAAGTATGTCCAATCTGGCGTTGGTATTCTCAAGTCAAGGTCGGTGGGAGGAAGCAGAGCAGCTCGAGGTGCAGGTTATGAAGACTCGCAAGACGAAGCTTGGGGTCGACCATCCTGACACATTGACGAGTAAAGGCAATCTGGCGTTGACGTTCTGGAATCAAGGTCGGTTGGAAGAAGCAGAACAGCTCCAGGTGCAGGTTATGAAGGCTCGCAAAACGAAGTCCGGGGTCGACCATCCTCACACATTGATAAGTATGGGCAATCTGGCGTTGGTATTCTCAAGTCAAGGTCGGTTGGAAGAAGCAGAGCAGCTGAAGGTACAGGTCATGGAGACTTGCAAGACGAAACTCGGGGTCGGCCATCCTGACACATTGAAGAGTATAGCCAATCTGGCGTCGACGCTCTGGAATCAAGGTCGGTTGGAAGAAGCAGAGCACCTCGAGGTGCAGGTCATGGAGACTTGCAAGACGAAACTCGGGGCCGACCACCCTTACACGTTGACGGTTATGGCAAACCTTGCTCATACCCTTAAGTCATCAACTCAAGACAAAGCCGCTTTGATATTGATGGCTGAATGCGTCCGACTTCGCGAGCGAAGTCTAGGCCCGGGCCATCCGGATACTTTGTCTTCCGAGTCCACTTTAACCCAATGGCGAGAGCAGAGTGACTCCCTATCCTCCAAGGTCACTGAAGCGTCGACTGAACTCAAAGAGGATAACCAAATCCTAGCCAGTTCCACAACAATCTCGCTGCGAGCTTCTAAACCCAGCGAATGTCGTAGGCGCACAGTCTTTTCGTGTCAGGACCCCTGACCACGTTCAGGCATCCAAGCACCACTTGACGGAATCCAGCAGTATCCAAAAGTGGAACCCTATATAGTTTGCATTCTTTGCATCTGTGTGTACATATTTTACATAGGTACTAGTCACAGGATTACTACCCTGGACAAAAAGGGGCAGCAGGTATGTTACCGTATGTAGTAATCATACTACATGGGATTGTGGGCTCGCGTACGCCCTTCTGTAAGCGAGCTGGGCATCCATGGATATCCCCTACGGGGGATCCCACCCCTAGCAAGTAGCGATTAGCTTGATTCCAACCATTAGAGTACCTTGCCCTTGTCACTCTTATCCAGTATATCCACTGCTATTGTGTAGGGTATTCGCCCCAACCCCCATGTGTAGATAGCTCGCAGCCTTCCTGCTTCTCCCTTCTCTCTCTTTCTCTCCCCGCAGTGAATTCAGTCGGTTCCCTTCCGCTTTCTCTTGCCGTCCAGTCTCAACAACTGCCAGGGACTGCTAGGAAGCAGCCCTTACATTTCGCGCTTCTTGAGCAGGAAATAGGATTATACCTGCTCAAACGTTCTGGATTAGAGCTTTGCCTTGAAAAGCGAAGTGATCACACTGATTCACCTTGCAGCCCACCCCTATATGCCGGTTCCGAAGATACTGCGTGACTAGGTTGACAGTAACGGGCGATACCTTGTACTTCAAGAGCGAATACAGAGCCAAGCTCCCAAGCAGGCTTAGTTTTCGTTATCCAAATCCCAGAAAGTGAATATCGCAGATCAAGTTATTGGAGTTCGAAAGCAGCTTCAATTCCAAGTCAACCTCCATACAAAGCATTGATCAAAACACTTGTTTTCCGGGTCTACTCTATTCTGACCTTGAGCCACATGGACCTCTCTATTCCGACGACAGCGAACTCTGGGATGCCATAAGTCTGACTCTCCACGATCCACCTAAAAGAGTGTTTTCTCAAGGAGCTTTGGACAATCTGAAGAAGCGTCTGCTTGAATGTGAGCCCCAAGTTCTCACTCACTGCGACCTCAAGTTGAGCAATATTATGGTGCAAGATGGAAGGGTGGCTGGTGTTCTTGATTGGGAATTTGCAGCATACTATCCCATCTGGTATGATTATGTCTCGGACTCCTGGAGGTGGAGAGAGGACTTCGAGTGGAAAAAAACTCGAGAGCGTATGTACATGGTGAAAAACACGATTATGCGAAGGAATTCTGGACTGATCTGCGCCTGAGAAAATGTCCGAATTTGAATGGAAAGGGCCGAGAAATTTTGGACAGGTTGTCTTCGGATTAACCTGAGGGTTGTAGAGATTCAACTTGAGAAATTGGAATTTGTGAAGTGCCCTGGAGAGACGGTAGCTTTATCGAAAAGGACTGTGGAACTTGAGAAAATACAAATCGATGTATAGATCCTCAGGTTGCTCATTGGAGTTAAGCGAAAAAATGCTTTCTAGACAATGACCTCTCTTTGCTATTAGACCGAGACTGGAAGACATCGAAATTAATTGACAAACCTGATTCTGTAGTTGAAAGTAGGGGGGAATGTCAAGTTGTCGATCTCAACGGCTCGGCCTATGGAGCCCGGAGCTCACCACACGGGGGCTACAATTGGGTACGGAGTACCGCGTATACTCGACATGAGATTGAAATCGAGAATAACAGTCAGATCGCAGGGATAGCAGACTAGGATTGTCTGGAGATGCCAACCATGTCTACTGTAATTAAATAAAAAAAAAGTAGGACAGAATCACTCATCGCGTACAACATATGCTGGAGTCATCGGCTTGAATTCCCCAGAAAAAGAAAAGAGACTCAAATAGCCTCGCCTCTTAGGCTTGGCGGGGTAACCACTTCTGGGATAGTCTGCACGTGAGGGTAGAGTACAAGAATTCCTCTCTCCCCGCACTTTACCCCCTTCACTCATCATGGCACCTCGAAATCCCTCAGAGCAGACAGTCCTCAAGTCACCGAAGGACCAGACTCTACGCTTTCGCGAAGATGGCACTTTCCATATCGGAGTGTTTGAGGACTTGCATTTCGCTGAAGGTGCGTTGGACGCGTGAAACGGCCGCCAAGCGGGATCTAGCTGATCGGCCTTAGATGTGGAGAAAGACAAAAAGTCCAAGGGGGTGATGTCATACATTCTGTCCGAGGAAGACATTGACTTGGTCGTGATCAACGGTGACTTGGTATCCGGCGAGAGGACCCACAAGGCCGATTCGAAGAAATACATTGCTGATGTTGTCTCTCCGCTCGTCGAGGGCGGCTACCGATGGGCATCAACCTACGGGAACCATGACAGCGAGGTCAACCTCAACCCGAAGGAGGACATGTACGAGGCTGAGAAGAAGTTCGACAACAGTCTGACGCGGAGTTCTATTTCCGGTGATGAAGCCGGGATCACCAACTACTACTTACCCGTGTTCTCCCACGGTGACAAGAATACAACCACGCCGGCACTCCTTCTATGGTTCTTCGATTCGAAGGGCGGGCACTATTACCAAAAAGAAGGGAAGCAGGGTCCCTCCGTGAAGAGACCCAGTTGGATCGACGAATCGGTACGACTTCCGAATCATATGATTTGACAAGGGTATTAACAGTGTACTCCATACAGGTTGTCGAATGGTTCACAGAGACAAACACCAAGCTGCGAAAAGAGTACGGTAAAGTCGTGCCATCGCTGGCATTCTACCATATCCCCGCGCATGCAATGTTGCTAGGACAACAAAGAGGCCGCCTCGACCCTCATCTCACGCCCGGCGCGAACCGTGAACGCGTCAATCCACAAGGAACAGGCGATTGGAAATACGATAGTCAGGACGTCAAATTCATGGAAGCCCTCCTCAACACCGAGGGACTGATCGCCGGTTTCAGTGGCCACGACCACCAAAATGATTGGTATGAGCTTCCCGCGTCCCTTTTGGTGCGCATGCTGTATATTCCTGATTCTAACAATGCATAGGTGCTTTAAGTGGGACGGTTCGCTGGTAGACCATGACCTGGTCGGAAACGGGCTCAACATGTGCTACGGTCGCCATACTGGCTATGGAGGCTATGGAGATTTGACTCGAGGTGGACGGCAGATTCTACTCAATGAGAGTAATCTGACTGAAGATACGCAGACATGGATTCGTTTGGAGGACGGGCTCGTTCAGGCGCATGTTACGCTGAATACTACTTACGGGCAAGATCCTTATGCTGCTGTTACGAATGTTGGCCGGCCCAGCATTCACAGCGAGTCATCTTTGCTTCCATTCTCATGGCTGTGGTTTCCAGTCATGGTGCTTTGGCGGTGGAAGATTTAATAATTTGAGCTTTGGGGATTGGCGTTTGGGGTCAATCTCAGTGCCCCGGTGGCTGACATATTCATATACAAGTTTTTGGAGAGATGAGAAAACTGCTCAAGTGTCTCTGCTCTGTATCCCGCATTCTACGAGTCTACAAGTAGATCCTTGCACCACCAAGTAAAATCTAGGGTACTAACTCATTTTGCAGTAGTCTAGATTTCTAGTCCCAGCTCAATGAGCATCGACTCTGCAGCAATGAGAACGCGAAGGGAGACTCAATTGAACAGGTTATACAGCAGGCGCTCAGGCTCAAAGGCCCCAGCGCTGCGTTCACTCACACAAGTTACTCAACTTTGATTGTGTCTCCCACTCCACAAGCCCAGTGATCACTCTGTGTTACTTTGTACGCAATACTTGGACAAACACGGATGTTCCCTCAGTCTATGCTTTACTCATTCTATCACGCAAAGAGGACATTGGAGCCCTGATTCTGGTGCATTGAGGTCTGTCTTTCAATCGTCATCTCATCTATTCTGGTATTAGGGATTATGTACAAGTCTGTCTATATACTCCCATAACATCTCATATACTAAGTATTGCCAACATTTCTACTCCACCTCACAAGTAGATGTAGCAGAAGGGCCCAGAAACGGTACTCATGAGGTCGCGCATGGCAATGGGGCCAGCACCAGCATGACCGATATCAATCACGGTGTCGAGAGTAGTGTTGGCCGACTCGGGCTGATTCAAGAAAGTGCCAGTACCAGAAATTGCGTTTCCGCGCTTCTTCAAGTCCAAGTTCTGCCAGATCCACCAGGTACGGTCAATCATACCGTGGTGGTGCCAGAACGCCGGGTCACCGGGGCTAACAAAGACATCGCGAGCAGGATCACCGCCCATCGAGTAATGACCGCCACCGTGAACACCGATCGAGCCACTGCCGGGAACACCCTGCATGCTCATCTGGAAGTCCCAGACGTCATCATTGCTCAGGATCAAGTCCACGGTTGAGGTGAAATTGGCATAATCGGACAGAATTGCGGTGGTTAGATCGCGGTTCAGACAGCGTGGGTTGTAGGCCAGTGGGTTGGCTGCGGCGCTGGTGTTGCCGCCGGGAAGCATCAATGCGGCAGGGCCCAGGTTGACCTTGTAGTCCTTGAAGGGACCGCTGGTCACGCAGCCGCCGCCTGTGCCGGTGGGCAGGTGGATGATGGGGTAATCACCCAGAGTGAGTTGGATGTCGCCGGTGGTCTCCACCTTCGCACCGTTGCCGGACATGGAGGTGTCACTGCCATCGAAGACCTGGGACTTCTCGATGTCATGAGCATCGGCACCCCAGTTCCAGTATCTGTGATTATATTAGTTGCCAAGCATGAAACGTGGGGAGCTCCTTCTTCGGAATGAACAAAACTTACGGGTAGTCACCGGTGTAGCCACACTCATTGCGCAAAGCTTGCTCGAAGTTCCAGATAAAGTATCTGTGCCAGGCCAGGAAGGTACCCGTGTAGTGGATCTGCAATGTTTGGTTGATGTGCGTCGCGACGAAGTCATCGTAGCGGGTACGCGCACCCGGCGCGATGTTGGAGGGCGTGCGCGACGGCAACTTCTGAAGGCAGACCACGGACTTAATGTACGATTTCTTCTGAGTGGCAGAGAAAGTCCTCCAATCGCGACGGACACGGAGGTTCCGAAGCGAACATTGACCGCGCTTCTCGATGTCCGAGTCACTGGAGACCGTGTCGGTGGTGGTGTTGTAGGCCACCTGCGCGAGCTGGTCCAATTGGGCCTCAGCGACCGGCAATGAAGTGGACGCAGCAGTGGGAATAGCAGATGAGCTCACTGCCACACCATCTTGGGCGGCTGTGGGCATAGCCCAGGCCTGCGCGAGCAACGCTCCCACGGCAACAGCAGAAAAAGCAACCATGGCGAATGACGAGCACAATGTGAAAGCTTGACAAAGATTTCACGTTCACACTGAGAAATGCTGGGCGAAGATCGAAGATGAATCCGGGTATGATTGTCGGGTTATAAGATCTTTGCGATGCCCCTTGGACTTTCGGCAATCCAATCGGAGCTAATCAATGCCTTTTGCGCGTTGACCAAGTTGAATCATTTGGGGGCCTCTCGGGGCCGAACAGCCCGTCTCCACTTGATACGACGTTGGCAGAGAAGTGGACAAAAGTGGACACGCCATCCGCGAGAATCCTTTCGCCACTCGGGCCAGGGATCGGCCCCTTCAGACCCTGGAGATCTCAGATCTCAATGCTGTGTTGAACGTGTGAACAATCCATATGATGTTGGAAAAAGAAGGTAAAAAGCAAACAGATGCATCTCGTGTTGGCACAGACCCCCTTGCTAATAGCTTGGCGCATGAAATTCTTCCCAGCGGAACGGGGCAAGCCTTTCAGAGTCTGGGTGTCTGGCCCGATGCCCTAAGTACGAAAAGGGAATAATTAATGGCTGAATATATGAGCTCCGATGGTTCCCAAGTCCCAAACTCTCTCAGATGCTTTTACTGATGCAGTGGATATTGCTCATTGGTGGGGTTTCGTTTAACTGTGCTTTTCCCCTGAACTGATGGAAGCCGAGGCTCATGGAGGGTATTGTTTCATCTAGCAGCAGACGCCACATGAGCATTGTGGGTTGACCTCCGTTGTGGCCCTGGAATTGGATCCCCAATGAAGGTAGATGGACCGGAAAAGAGAGAAAAGCGGATCGTGGAAATCATCCAGAAGCGTCCGTGGCTGCGAAGCCTCAAAATTGAAGCAAATCAGAACCCTATTGTAAACACTAATAGAGTGATCTCCGATGATTCGCCCATCCGAGCTGTCGGATAGCGTAACGGCTTTCAACGATGTTTCGAAATTCAAGATCTTTCATTTTTGGCCTGAGTTCATACGGAATTTTGAGTATTTTCAATCGCTGCGACACGCCGTCTACGGTCTACATAACCCCAAGCTCCCTTCATCTTCGCCAGATAACCTTACACCAAACATGTCGGCAGAACATCTAGGTGGACTACAAGATGAGAATCAAGGCCCGAGAATTATAATCGCGACGGCGATCACAACGGCCGCTGCGCTGATCGTCGTGATTGCCAGATTCTATGTCCGCATCTGCATCATTCGGAACGTCGGATGGGATGACTATGTGATGGGACTGACAATGCTACTATCGGCCTCCGGATTTGCAATCACTGTCCCCGAAGTGAAATATGGCGCAGGAAGACATGTAGTCTTTGTTGGCGAGACCGCCAAAACAGCGATGCATCTGAACTTTGCTACCCAGGCGATCTACCTATGGGCAATCGGTACAGTCAAGATATCAATTGGTCTGTTCCTGCTTCGCTTTGCAGGAAAGAAAGGCTACAAGTGGTTTATCTGGGTAGTCATGGTGGCCATGATGCTGTATACAGCCATTTGTTTCTTGACTTTGATCTTTCAATGCAAGGATATCCGAACCAACTGGGACCCTACAGTGAAGTCCGAATGCTTCTCACCGACACAACTCTTGACACTGAGCTACACAAACACTGGTGAGATGAATATCTTTTTTACTCTCTACTTCAAGCTGACATCTGCAGCATTGAACATTCTTACGGATCTGATTTTCTCCATTCTACCGGTTTTCATGCTACGGTGCGTTTCCCCCGATCAATATCTTGGGTATTGACTGACATCCTTACTAGCCACCTTCAGGTCAATCGCCGGGTTAAGGCATCTTTGATCTGCATCCTAGGCCTCGGGGTCTTGTAAGTCATAATCAACTGAGTCGATCATATCTTGCCACTAACCCTTTGGAAGTGCCTGCGCTGCCGCCTTTGTCAAACTGTCCATTCTTCCAAACTACGGCCGCACCGGTGACTTCCTGTGGGACTATACCAACCTCACAATCTGGGTAGTGTACGTCAAATGACATTCCGACCGTCTCAATCAGAATGTTGCGCTAACCTTATTCAGCACGGAATGCAACACGGGTATAGTGGCTGGCAGTCTCCCGACCCTGAAGCCCTTATTCAAGAAGGTCCTCGGCTCATACGCCTCCCAATCCAAGACGGCCCGCGATTATTTTACCTTCAAGCGAAGCAAGCTGCGCTCGGCTTCCAGGTCTGATGGAACCCCCCTTGAATCGCTGGCACATAACGGAAACCGAAGCGTTGTCGCACACCACACTCCGACCAAAAATTTGTACCCCAACCTTGAATCACCGTCCAGCACACCCACCGATGCCCGAAGTCAAGCGAGTAATTCCAGTGAGGAACGTATTCTACCAATTCAGGGAGAGATTCTCTGCACGACCGAGGTCAGGGTCTCACATACTAATGATCACCCACTCCCATCTGGTCCGCCGGCACCCACGCTGGGTAGAATGAGATCGTTTAGAGGGATGGGACATGGTGCTGATGACCGTGTTTAATGTGGTATTTTCAACGGAGCAATTTTCTTGTATATCACCAGCCCTGGAGGCGCATTATGTTAATAGATTTCGAATTTATATTGCAGTAAACAGATATGTCCACCCTGCATACCCCTTATCTCAGAGCTCATTCATATCATTCGCGTACGAGTACAAGTAATTTAAGTAGTATCCCTTGTGAGTTCTAAAGTTTCACATCCATGGGTGCAACCTTGTGGAGCCTTTAGAAAAATGTATGTTTCTCGAGGGACTAACTGGTATGATATTAAATCCCATATTAAAACTGATATTGAGTTTAGAAACAATAGATTAAACGGAGGGTCGCTTAGAGCGTCGGCTTGTTTGTGAAACTTTAGAAGTGGATACAGGAGGGGTTCGACCCTACAGATTGGAGATCTAAACACATTGTATGGGAATCATGCACTTCAGTTGATCGGTCAATTAAACATTGGTTATTCATGTGAAGCTGGATATGAGCTTGCGAAAAAAGTAGGACTCCAAAATAAAATCATTGGGGCTACAGGCATGGGGTTTTAAACCTCCCGAGCCTGGCCATTCGCTTCTCCGCTGTGGACAGTCTTTCCTGTCTCCTTGAGAATCACAAGTACAGATTCGTATGAGAGTGTAGACTCTGCATTGACAAGGACAGTCTTGTGTTCGAGACTGACGTCGAAGGATACAATCCCTTCACCCCAGAAAGAATTAGCCGCAAAAATCACAAACACACAGGACTGCGATCAATCAAACTCACCATCGACACCCTTCAGAGCATCTTCCAAGGCACTGGAGCAGCCAGCACATCCCATCTGCACGTTAAAGTTGTATTGGTTGGGAGCCATTGCGAAATGAAGTTTTCAAGTAGATCAAACTCGTTGGTTGGGTATGGGATCGAGAAAATGAGACAATTGATGCAGGGAGATGAATTGTGAGGGAATATCCGAAGTTTCCTTCTCAAAATATACTTATGGAAAGTCTTGAGAGGTGTTTGTGCTATAGGATGTTGGAATCCACCTAACACTTCACTACCGCTTTAGGCAAGTCCGAATGCTGGTGCCAACGCCGAAATGCGCCTTTAATGCGTTTTTTTAATTCTCCACCGGAGCATCATCTGGACAACATTGCTAGTCCGTATAAGGGTCAGATGATTTCTACCAGTTCAATGCCCAGTCCCGATATAGTCGATAGCGAAACCAGCTTCTACTGTATCCTGTTCACTGCCTTGTTTTTACCGGGACCCACTACCAAGGAACTTTTGCTCCACCGCCATTATGTATAAAGATAGACAGAGCTCGTAAATATAACGATACGAATACTTCATAATATAGGTATCTTACCGAAAAGAAAAAGAAAATTGTATTCCTAAAACGACCTTTTAAGAATCCTCGGCGTGGGTACAACAGCATATGAGTAGCAGCAATTGTTAGCCAATATCGAAATAGGTTTTAACAACTTTAGAAGTATACAGATGATCCTCTTTGCTCCAATCATTTACATGAAATTATTCCGACATACATTTCCAGCGGCACAGTCATCGGATATATAGACAACAGCAAGCCTTAAAGTAATTTATTCCTTTCCACCGGCAGCCACCTGGGCTGCAAATTCCAGAGACCATGGAACCTTTGATGTCGAAAAGCAGAGGGAGGGATGTGGACCAATTAGAAACCAGGTTTTTTCTAGACGATCTCCAGAATCTTATCTTATTCTCCAAGACATGCAGCTTGGAGGGCATTTCCATCATCTCCACCTTGGACTTTGACCTTGGCTCCTTTCTCCAGCAGCAACTGAACAATATCATTGTGCCCTTCTGCAGACGCAGCTTGGAGAGGACTCTCAAAGCGGTCATTTTGGACGTTGACTTCGGCTCCTTTGTCCAGCAGCAATTGCACAATCTTCTTGTATCCCCACATAGATGCAGCTCGGAGAGCACTCCCGAAAGCTCCATCCTGAGCGTTCAGTTCGATTCCTTTCTCCAGCAACAACTGCACAACCTTATCGTGTCCTTGTGAAGACGCCATTTGGAGAGCATTCCCAAATATTCCAGCTTCGGAATTGATGTCGGCATTGACCTCGGCTCCTTTTTCCAACAGCAATTGCACAATATGGTCGTGTCCTTTAAAAGACGCAGCTTGGAGAGCATTCCCGAAATTTCCACCTTGGACGTTGATCTCGGCTCCTTTCTCCAACAACAATTGCACAGTCTTTTTGTTTCCGTTATGAGATGCAGCTTGGAGAGAAGTCCCGAAGTTTCCACCCTTGGCGTTGACTTCAGCTCCTTTCTCCAACAGCAACTGCACAATCCTATCATGTCCTCTTGAAGATGCAGCTTGGAGAGCATTCCCAAAAAATCCACCCTTGGCATTGATTTCAGCTCCTTTCTTCAACAACAATTGCACAGTCTTTTTGTTTCCGTTATGAGATGCAGCTTGGAAAGCATTTCCGAAATATCCATTCTGAACGTCGACCTCGGCTCCTTTCTCCAGCAGCAATTGCACGATCTTCTCGTGTCCTTCTGAAGACGCAGCTTGGAGAGCATTCCCGAAATATCCACCCTTGGCATTGACTTCAGCTCCTTTCTCCAGCAGCAATTGCACAATCTTATTGTGTCCTTCTGAAGACGCAGCTTGGAGAGCATTTCCGAAATATCCACCCTTGGCATTGACTTCAGCTCCTTTCTCCA